TAACCTTTTTTTTTTTTTTTTTTATCAACACAACATAATAAACATTTTGCTCTTGTGGTGGTAAAAAACAGTCTCCTTGTTTATTCTGCTGGTTTTACAAAATATATACACCCAATACAGCAGGCGGCAGTATATCAGACAGTGGATGCATAAACCTAAAATAGCAGACTGGTGCGCATGCGCGTAGATGCGCACGCTGCTTAATAGAGTTGTGCCACTTCAAAACAAACCGCGTACACCCAAAAATACTCAAAACGATGCTCAGAAAATTCAGGTGATGATACTTACACAATGGCTAATCCAGCTATTCGGATGTTACGGCGGCTAGAGGGTCTTTTTTGTGTTTACAAACCCTCTGGTGTCCACTGGAAACTCGTACGGGACACCATCGAGACCAATCTTCTTAAAGGTGAGGTAAAGATAGCCTGAAACAAATGAGATCCTTCACAAAATGGAAAGTCAATGAATGTATTTCAGTGTCCTGGTCTGCAGTGACAGTGAGGCAGGGTTAGTCAGCTAACAGTAACTAAGAAGTGCCTTTAACCTCACCCTCCAAATACGTGAGAGTATCCTGTTTGACCTCTGAACGTGTCACCATGAAGGTTTGAACGCCACACCGTCCCAGCCGGTTCCTCAGGAGGTCCGCTTCTTTACCTCAGCAGACAGTGATGCTGAAGCATCCAAGGGACTCACACTGTCTGCAGCCTCTGTGCCAGTACTTTCCAAGCATCCTCTGGGTATGTGTTTCTATTATTTACTTCCTGGGTCACCTACTCATTGCTGGTAAACCTTAATATTTGCAGTCTGTGTGGTGAACACCAAATGGAATCCTGCAAATATCAAATATACCTGGAATGTATTTGATAAACCAGTATGCAGCATGTATGCACATTGTGCGGGAGCTAGTAAAAAAATAACATTGAATTTCACTCTTTCTTCTCTATTCTTTATGTTCTTCTTTTTTAACGTCTGTGGATTATTCAGGTCAAATAACAATAATAAAAATAATATAAAGTAACTTTTTTATTGCTATTTTGATACACTGCTCAAAAAAATAAAGGGAACACTTAAACAACACAATGTAACTCCAAGTCAGTCACACTTCTGTGAAATCAAACTGTCCACTTAGGAAGCAACACTGATTGACAATCAATTTCACACGCTGTTGTGCAAATGGAATAGACAACAGGTGGGAATTATAGGCAATCAGCAAGACACCCCCAATAAAGGAGTGGTTCTGCAGGTGGTGACCACAGACCACTTCTGAGTTCCTATGCTTTCTGGCTGATGTTTTGGTCACTTTTGAATGCTGGCGGTGCTTTCACTCTAGTGGTAGCATGAGACGGAGTCTACAACCCACACAAGTGGCTCAGGTAGTGCAGCTCATCCAGGATGGCACATCAATGCGAGCTGTGGCAAGAAGGTTTGCTGTGTCTGTCAGCGTAGTGTCCAGAGCATGGAGGCGCTACCAGGAGACAGGCCAGTACATCAGGAGACGTGGAGGAGGCCGTAGGAGGGCAACAACCCAGCAGCAGGACCGCTACCTCCGCCTTTTGTGCAAGGAGGAACAGGAGGAGCACTGCCAGAGCCCTGCAAAATGACCTCCAGCAGGCCACAAATGTGCATGTGTCTGCTCAAACAGTCAGAAACAGACTCCATGAGGGTGGTATGAGGGCCCGACGTCCACAGGTGGGGGTTGTGCTTACAGCCCAACACCGTGCAGGACGTTTGGCATTTGCCAGAGAACACCAAGATTGGCAAATTCGCCACTGGCACCCTGTGCTCTTCACAGATGAAAGCAGGTTCACACTGAGCACATGTGACAGAGTCTGGAGACGCCGTGGAGAACGTTCTGCTGCCTGCAACATCCTCCAGCATGACCGGTTTGGCAGTGGGTCAGTCATGGTGTGGGGTGGCATTTCTTTGGGGGGGCCGCTCAGCCCTCCATGTGCTCGCCAGAAGTAGCCTGACTGCCATTAGGTACCAAGATGAGATCCTCAGACCCCTTGTGAGACCATATGCTGGTGCGGTTGGCCCTAGGTTCCTCCTAATGCAAGACAATGCTAGACCTCAAGTGGCTGGAGTGTGTCAGCAGTTCCTGCAAGACGAAGGCATTGATGCTATGGACTGGCCCGCCTATTCCCCAGACCTGAATCCAATTGAGCACATCTGGGACATCATGTCTCGCTCCATCCACCAACGCCACGTTGCACCACAGACTGTCCAGGAGTTGGCGGATGCTTTAGTCCAGGTCTGGGAGGAGATCCCTCAGGAGACCATCCGCCACCTCATCAGGAGCATGCCCAGGTGTTGTAGGGAGGTCATACAGGCACGTGGAGGCCACACACACTACTGAGCCTCATTTTGACTTGTTTTAAGGATATTACATCAAAGTTGGATCAGCCTGTAGTGTGTATTCCACTTTAATTTTGAGTGTGACTCCAAATCCAGACCTCCATGGGTTAATAAATTTGATTTCCATTGATAATTTTTTGTGATTTTGTTGTCAGCACATTCAACTATGTAAAGAACAAAGTATTTAATAAGAATATTTCATTCAGTCAGATCTAGGATGTGTTATTTTAGTGTTCCCTTTATTTTTTTGAGCAGTGTATTTATAGTTGAGCCTGTTATTAACAAGAAGACATGTCTGCTGTGTAATGCAAACTCTGCTTTAATGTGATTTTCCTCCTTTAACATTTCTCTCTGGTCATCTTTAAATGGACAATAAATGAATTCTAGTCAGATGGCTCATTAGTGATGTCACGCTGATATAAACTTGAATGACTGAAAGATATTACATTTCATGTATTATGTCTGGACATTTGGTACTGTATATGAGTAAGTCAAATGCATTTGTGTGTGTGTGTGTCTTTTTATAGTGACTGGACCTGAATTCCAGCAAATCAAAGTTGGAGTAGGACATCGGCTGGATGCATTTTCTTCTGGTGTTCTTGGTATGATATTTGGTATTTTTTTTTTTTTTTTTTTTTTAAGAGCTGATTATTACACGAGAGCAAATATATGCTGCAGACCCTGCTCAATTAGCTTGATCGTTTTTCTCCACACATTTTGTACATTTTAGTTCTCGCTGTTGGGAATGGAAACAGGACCCTAAATGATTTCTACAGAACACGAGTCACAAGGGTAATGATTAAAAACTGCGGTTTTTATGAGAAATAAAGTGAGTCAATAAAGATCCAGTACACAAGTGTTTGATGCTGTTTGATTTGTTTTTAGGATTATACACTGCAGGGAGAATTTGGGACTGCATCAGATGATTTCTCTAACACAGGCCGGGCTTTGGAAAGGTCCACCTATGGTAAGATAGTTTACAGTTTTCCTCTACATGTTGAGTTTTTTCAACCTTTTATATAACCTTTTAAAAAAGCAGTTTATAACCTTTAAGAAGCAGTATTATATCTACAGCAGCCTAATGCCTTTTTTTCTTAAAGTAGTTGAAACAATGAAACTTAAAACAATGTATATTTTTACAATTGAATAGCAAATACATTTTCATGAGTATGAATTTGTCTAGCATTATAGTATTTATAGCTTTGGAGCATTTTATTTTTTCACCAGCCTTTACCACACTGCATCAGTTATTGTGCCTTTGGCTGCATCTGATATTATTGTAGATGGGCTAAATTAAGCTCATAATCATCTCTAATATTCCTCTTCAATACCAGAGCAATATATCACTATAAAGCAATCATTATGATAATACCATGTCATTATCATTATCGTGCAATATCACGTTTCATTATTATCATATATTATTACATTTAATGCTATTACTTTTGAACTTGTCTTACTTTGGTACTTCACTTATTGTATTTCTATTGCTATTACTTTGCTCTCTCCTTGTATCAAGAGCGTGTCCAGACTTTTTGGACTGGGGTGGCCCAACTAGGGTACTGACTTGTGCAGGGGCGGCCTGAAGTTTCACATTGACTTTTAAGTATTTTTTAAAATTGCAAACAGACATCTGGCAAGGCGCATGGCCAATAAATTGTCAAGGATTTTGGGGTGGCCTATAAGATTTCAAGGTGGGCCCATGCCACCCCTCTGGACACGCCCCTGCCTTGTATTTAATCCTCATCCACTTTATTATGCACTTTATGTTTCCAGTATTTGATGCTCTTTTGTATTAATCTTATTTTGTGCTGTAATATTGTAGCAATCTGGCATCAGGATTTCCTTCAGGATCAATAAAGTTCTATATTATCTTTTCTTAGGTCACATCACACAGGACAATCTGGACAGAGTCTTGGCAATGCTGCAGGGAGTCAACCAAAAGGCCATGTTAACGTATGCTTTAACATCAAATATTCATCATAATTAGATACACGTAATATCACTGCTTGCCATATCAGGCGTTTATTTTCTGTGCTTTGACCTTGTAATAAGACCTCCTGCTCAAACTTGTCAAGAGAATGCTGTCAGCACAACCACAGTGCAGAGCAAAGTAACTATTTTAAGTGCAAGTAGATGATTGTTTTTTTCCCCCTGCTGTACAGGTATTCCAACGTAGACATGCGCTCGCAGGAAGCTTATGAGCTGGCTGCGCAGGGTTTACTTGGTTCAGACATGAAATTGCTGCCTATTCTGACAGGCCTGCGTTGCATTCACTTTCAGCCGCCCAACTTCACTTTAGGTAAATGTAGCATGCAGTGAACCTCATTTCACAGTCTTAATAATGCACATTTTGGGGTGCTTACTGATCTTGTTTGGTTTTTGTCATCTGTTCTTACAGAAGTGCAGTGTGCCAATGAAACTCAGAAATATTTGCGCAAAGTTGTGCATGAGATAGGACTGGAGCTGCGCAGCACAGCAGTGTGTAAAGGAGTCAGGCGGACCAGAGACGGACACTTCAGCTTGCAGGATGCCCTGACCCGTCACCACTGGACTGCTTCTGATGTCAAGCAGGCTGTAAAACAATACCACTTGACCATTAAGAGTAAAAGACAATCCCGCCCACAGATCAAGGACCAAGCGTTACAACCACCTGAGGAGAATACAACGGCAAAAGTAACAAAACACAATAGATCCACAGTGAGTCTGAGCCCAATCCCAGTATCAACAGAACTGTAAGCGGAGTCCCTGGTTTGTGAAAGAGAAAGTATGAAATTCATATTGTTATTCTTTAGAACAAAAATGGTTGTGCTACAATTGTAAACAGCTATATGAGATTTTGCACCAATACCCCCCCCCCAAGATTGCAAATTGAAAGACTTCCAGGCAAGATTTCCTTTTCCGTGTGACTTTAACATCTGCAAAGTAAATGCCATAACATCCAGGATTTACTTCATCTGCCAGACAATAATATCGACCGATATTAGCATATGTAGTGACTATTGGTATCTGCTACTTTTATCTCAAATATGTGCCGATATTACTAAATTTCTACAGCAGTCCAGTAGCGTTTCATTTGAGTTTCATTGTATTACACTAGCGATTATTTTTTACAAGCAGAGTGTGCGATATGGATTACAACAAGAATCATCACTCTCCAGAGAGTCAAGAGGTGATCCATGAACATGGGCAGTTACTTTGCAGTTGAGTAACCATCCTGTCTTACTTATTCATCTTTTCTACAAGTTTTTGATAACTGCATTTGAGACATAAATCTATATTTATCTCTACAGATGAAAGATCTCCCTAATATCGATATTGGCATTGGACCCAAAAAATCCCATATCGGCCATGCCCTAGTTTAAAAGTCTGAAATTACAGTTGAATATTCTCTGTTCTTCCTCTATTTAGTACCAAATTAAGTTATACTTCACAGTACACCTTTGAAAATGATTTGGGTTGTGTTTTAAAATGACTTACCTGTCAATAAAGCGTTAAGTTTTCGTCTTACTGTTTGATGTTGAGTCTGTTTACATGAACCAGCCTGACACTGAATTATCATTGAAATGAAGTAATCATTGTCCTGGTGGGTTAATCAAGTTAGTGAAGAGCCGATCCCTAATATCAGATTTGGTGTTCTCATCTATGTCCTCTGATGTTGGAAGATGCTGTCTCAGCATTTCTATTTCCCACAAACAAGCTCCTTTGGGACATTATGAGGTTACTGCAGTGGCGCCGTTGTTGTCATACTCTTCATACCAGTGAAGGACTTGTTGTTCCAGTGGGAACACTGTTGCCTTTGTCAGTGTGGAAACAACACAACGTCCACAAGGATACAAATTAACAGACATGGTTCTGCAGATTTATTAAGCATGAGACCTGACGTTGGGTAAATAGTAACATGCGTTATAAAGAAAACAGAAACTCTGTCAAACAAAATAAATAGGTTTGCAAGAATATAAAGCCTCTCTTAATACAAATGCATTCATTTTATTTGTGCTCATGTGTCCAACCAGCTGCTTGACAAATTAGAACGGGACAAGTTCCAGAAACATTAACTCAGAACAGATGAGCAACATAAAACAAATAATCTTCCACTAATTGAATGTACAAAAATGTCTAACAGTCACAAGATGTATATTGCACAAGCGACATGTAAAAACTAAGATGCAGCAATAGGGTGTCCATGATGAACAGACAGGATATGATCAGAAGAAGATCGTGACAGATTATCTTTTTTAACTGAAAGAATTGAGGAAGTTTTCTGAACTGACCGTGCCAGTGAACAAAGTGTTGAGTTTTTTGGGGCAGATCAGTAAATGATCTTTCTTGTAACTCGGAGAAGAAAAACAAATATTGATTTATTGTGTTTGTTTCTAAGAGAAGAGAAAGCCTTTCATACCCAAGAATAAATATCATTTAAAATATAAGCACAGTGCAGCATGATACAGAAAAAAACATTCTCTGTTTGTATACATCACACAGAGTACATTATTTTACAATCATTATTTCTTACATCTGTTTTCATTGACTGGCCTCGAAAGAAAGTGTGCAGCAACACTACAGCATCATTAGATTTAGATTTTTCATATTATTTGTAGAGGCCTCTGTGACCTTCTAAATCTGAGTGGGAAACATTTTTGTTAGCACTACTGTTAGTTAGCAAACTAATGAGCATACAGCAGCTTTATTAGCAGACATTAAATGGTTTAAATCATGCATGTTTCAAGCGTCATGCTGAATCTGCTTTGTTTTTTTACTTTACCGACTCAGTTCAGGTTTAATAGTTTTGATTCACACATAAATATTTTTTTCATGTGGCTGTTCTTTGTAACTGTTGTGATCATTTTCCCATGTCCTCATGTTTGTTGTTTTTCTGCCCCCACCTCTCCTTGAGGAACAATACACATCCATTACTGATACTAAGTTTACATCAAAGACTCAGTACATTAAGTCTTAGCAGAATTCCTGAGCTTTTCTTATAATCCACCAGCACCTATAAAGCTGAAGGTAATAGTAAAAAGGAACTTTAACATAAACACTTATGTGACAGAATACAATATGTACGGATAGATAAAAGGAACAGCTGTATTTCTTTATACACACTTCTGTTGTGATGTGCAAACTTTGCGCAAAGACAGTTCAGCAACATCCTGATGATTTCTTCTTCTGTGGCTCTTTAAACGACACTGTGGCTTCCTCTCTTGTGCCAATTTGTTGACTCAACATCCTGGCAACAATAAAAAAAAACAGCAACATCAGTGCCATGAGTTTTGTGCAATGCAAGAAACATTGTGACACAGATGACATCAAAGGACATGCTATAGAGAGATGGTGTGGGCATGATAGACAGCACGTAACAAATAAAATGTCAGAGAGTGATGTTACCTGGCCATAGTTTCCAAAGACTCGATCACATTTTCTCCCGTGGCAGCGCTGCACTCCATGAATTCAAAGTTGTACTCCTGTGGAAGTATAACTGCTGCCTTAAGTGTTGGTTTTAGATAATCTGAATTATTTAGTTTTGCTTTGTAAAAAAGGCTAAAGATACCACACACACACACACACACACACACACACACACACACACACACACACACACACACACACACACACACACACACACACACACACACACACACACACACACACACACACACTTAGCGAGGGTTTCCCCCTCCCGAGTTTTAACCTGACGTTCTGCATGATCACTCTTATTGCCAAGAAGTAAAACGGTCACATTTTCTGGAGCCCCTTCCTGCAAAACAAAGATGCAAAGGGGTGAATTCACAACTGGAGTTAAGGCTATCCACTTGTAATAAGATCACCCAGAACGGATGTTGATGCAAGATGTAAACACCCTCTTTGACTACTTATCTGTGGGGGTTTTTAAAGAAAAAAACTGCCAGGCCCTAATCATTAGAAATAAATAATGACACATTTAAACACATTGCTGTATCATTTTCTGACCTTTAATCATCAATCATTAAAGACAAGGACACAAGCGTGGTATAAAAATGTAAACCACGGCAACTAAAGTTTTATTTCTACTGTACCTGAATACAGCTTGCCCAGTAGCTGACTGCAGAAAAACTGTAAGCCGAAGTGATGTCGTACATCAGAAGAAAGGCCTGGGCTTTGTGGAAAATCTGTCTTGTAATGCTGTGAAACCTGTATAGGACAAAAAAAAAAAAAAAAGAATGTTGTCAGAGACAGGAGAGACCTTTCGCTCTACAAAACTGGCACAAAAAAAACCAAACTATTTTGGCACTCATTCAGAAGAGGACGAGAAAAGTTTGTGTTGTACTCATTGAGAAACCACAGAACATGACAGAACAGCCCTTGAGGTTGAATGCGTGCCGCTAATTGTCCGATTAAACTGGTCGGTTGAGTTTGCAGAGTTCTCCCCGAAGCTTTCTTCAAGAAACAATTTGAGAACATAGTCGTCATCAAGACAGATGTTTGCACAATTGCCTCGACAATGAAGGCAAGGAAATGTTACAGTTACATCACGCACAGTTCTTTATGTTCTTAATACAAGTTTGATGTGTTGTCCCTTTAATTAGTGTTTGGATGTTTCAGACTCCAGATTCAGAATCTACTCGTGACTGATCTTTTGAACAGCCAACCCGTCTCTTTCCAACATGTTAATGCTATATGTACATTCAAACAACATGCAAAACATGAAGAGAACATCACATCTGCACACTGCTCATCTACAACCTGAAACTCTGCTCTAATGAAATCTCTTGTGCTAACGTTAACAGGACAAAACATCCCTGAGAAGACACAAACCAGTTCTGAAACAGGTCTGAAGGAAACTTTGCAACACCTTCAGTGGGTTTTGAGTACATTGTATTGAGCCTTTTCTAGGAGGCTGCAGCCTGTGGTAACTTACATTTACATAATGCATGACTAACAACAATAGGAAGTGCACAGAGGATTTCACTTATGTAATCATTGTCATGTGTTCCCATCAGAAGTCTTGGCTGACTGCAGAGGTGTGCACAGCGCAGAGGAGCCGGGAGGTTGCCTTCAACCTCCCGCTAATATGTCCCCCATCTTCTCTAAGATGGGGGACATATTAGAGAAGAAAGACTGTCACTTCTGAGAAAAAGATGTGGCACACTGTTCATGTGGCAACACATTCAGGCGAATCATAAACCACAAATAACATCCGGTAAATTACGAAATGACACCTCCCTCTCTCTGACGTGAAATGACCATTACATGGTTCTTTTCCTCCCCCCAGAAGATCACATACATCCTCCTCACATACTGTAAAACAGAGCTATTACATCCCAAATTCGCAGGGTGCAGACAGCTTAACACAAACATCATCAGATGCTTGTCAATAGATTATTTTTGTATGTGCTTCAAAACCACCTTCATTTTCCTTCAGGCCCTTAAAGTGACAAACATCTTGAACAACACAAATCACTGTGAAGCGCTTGAGACACAAGAAGACAACAGGGACCGTTTCAGAGAGCCTTGTGTTCAAACATATTATAAGTAAAGAGCGAGGTTTATTATATCATTTATATTTCGATTTATTTACCAAAAAAAGGAGTAAAAGGAGTAATTTTACTTTTGGTGAAAAATGATGTCACACTTTAAATGGGACAACTGCAGGATTTCTTCTTCTTGAGCTCATTTTCACAATCATTGGGCTCTTTACAAGATTTACTGAGATGACGTTTGAAAGAATACTTGACTTCTGAATGTTGAGTAAGTTGCTCTGGCCCAATCACTAAAAAATGCAAATCTTTTCGAGGTTAGAAAGTTGAATTTGCTTTGATCTGCAGGGACATCTTGATAAATTACATTTTCACATTTATCAATGTTCTCTCATGGATTCTGTTGTTTGTCCCTGAATCCTCCCCTCAGTTATTTATCTAGTTCAATCCTACATGAAGAGGATATACTTGATCAATCCTTAAGGGTAAATTCATGGCACCAAAATGATACAATAACATTTTAGAGAGCTCAGTCATTAAAATGTTCTTGGATTAAATGTCGTATCTATTGTGTGCATATATTTGATAACAACAGCATTAAATGTTACAAGTATCTTTATAATGTCTGTAAAGAGACACCTACCTTTCTTGACCTGCTGTATCCCACAACCGCAGCACCACAGGTTTTCCATCAACCACTACAGTCCACAGGCAGGAATCGAGTCCTACAAAATGTATTTATCATAAGTTATTCTGAATATTTACACACTTTTGTAAGAAGAAAGAATATAAAGATTCGGATCTTACCAATGGATGCAGGTATTTCTAGAGAGAACTTCCCACTTTGAGCTCTTTTCATGAATGAGGTTTTGCCAACACTGCTGTCTCCCACCATCACCACGTTGTAAGAGTTTGATCTGTTAACTGAGCTATCACCTGCTGTAATGAAAAAACAAAATCACTTCCTGGTTACTTGTTTTGTTTCTAATTGATCTACTCTCTCATTATCTCTCTACAATCAGCCACATTTGGCTGTGACTAGTTCGAGCAAATATGAATGTGACGTGTACCCAGAGAGAATGTTTGGTGACCCTCCTGACCAAGGCGGATATCAGCAGAGGGACGTTGAACTGGAGTCTGCTGTTCAGGTTTCTTCTCACTGTGGAACAGACAATCATCAGACATAGATCAGACAAAACACAGCACTGAGTCAGTCACCAGAATTCCTGCGAGGAGTTAGCATTTTGTTCAGATATGAATGTGTAACTCTGTACACCTCAAGATAAACATGTGTTTTTCAAGCACGCTTGACCCTTTGTGCTAATCAACTCAGGAAACATTGTATTGATTCAACGTTATTCAAGATATGACAAGGAGGATGTTAAGGCTGCTCTCCTCTCTTCTTAAAAAGAAAATTGTCTTGGATTAAAGCAACCGCTGTGAAAAAACACAATATAAAAATACTCACATACTAGCACAGCTCTCACTAAAACTTTAAAATAATCCCAGAATAATAGGAACTGTCTTACAGTTATTATAAGTAGTTGCCCTGTTACTGTATAAAGTTGAAAAAGTGAACCCGATAGAAGGACAAATTAATGTTTTTCATGACTGTTCCTGCATTTAATCATTTAAACTGGATACACTGAGTCTCATAGGATCACAGGATTAGTCTGTGCTGAAGTCAAACCTTAAGATCAGCCTGTTAGGAACCTGAAAAAATAAACCATTAACGTATTCACACCCTGACAAAACAAAACTGTTTAACTAGAGTTTTTATTGCTGCACAGACAGGTTTTTTAATGTATTATTTGTATGACAATTAGTTAGACATAAGACTTGCATGATTCAGTAACCCAACCAGATAGATCTACTTTTCACTGTGCAAAGCTCATGATGAAGCTGGGCCAGCCTTGGAGAACATAGTGTCAATACCTCTATTAGTCTTTGGCTTCAAACTCACCTCACTGGCTTTGTGTCTTCTCCTGCTTTTGATGTTCTGCTGTTTGGTGATTCTTTCTTGTTCGTTTTTTCAATCTGCACAGACAAAAAGAAACTCTGCAATGAGCTGATCATTTTTTTTTTGTATAAATCAAATCAATAAATATATATCGTTTTTAATATGACAGAATTATTTGAATATCAAATATTTGTATTTAAAAGGTTTCCATGCGTGATCCTCTTGCACACAGAGGTTACTTTTTTTTGTCTTGTGATAGGTACTACCAGCTGTTGATGTTATTGATGTTACAACCTTATAAAGTAATTTTATAGAGGACTAAGAGGAATGAATGCTCAGGAATGAGAGCCTAAAAGTCATTCATGATTGACATCATATTACTCAGTATGCTGTAGCTCAGCAGTACTTCTTGTAGCTTTGGCCCCATATCTTGAAGACTGTTGTCCTTAAAGCTAGTGTCAGTGAATTTAAGACAAAAAATACACCCCACTATTAAGATCAAGAAGTCAGATACTTGTTTATGTTCTCTTTTTCAATGTGTGAAACTTGTAGTGTGGGCAGCATGTTCCTCTTTTCAGTTCCTTGTGTCATCTTGTTCATTTTTGCAACAAACACTTTGCCAGTTTGCAATAGGTCTCACGCAAATGTGGAGTTTATTACAACACAGAATTACCTTATCCAAAGTTTAAAAAAATACAATTTCAGTCATTTTCAGTAAAGCTTTGGGAGCACTGTTTAGAACATCCCCAAACAACTGCTTATATAACTAATTATTGAACTGCAGCGCAAACGTCTGTAAGTGCTATGCAAATAACCACAATTAACGATTTGTACTAGATTATTGTTGATATAGAGGAGAAATTACCCCCAAACATGTTGCTGCTTACCCCAGATGTTTCATGCAGGCCCAACAATTCTTCCTCGACTGTCTTAATGGCACTTTCATCGGTGACACTTCCACCATCGCTCCCATTTTCTTTATTGATTATATGGTCTTCGCTTGCAGTTTCTTCTCTATTCTTTTGTTGTCCACGAGACTTCCGGTTCGATCCCATTTTTCTTTTCCTCCCACCAGCTGCTGATTCTGACATTACATCTTCTTTGGAAGTGGTGGAAGGTATTACAGGGTGATAATTCGGAGCTTGTTGATGCTCTGATTCGCTACTGGAAACAGGATTTTCCTCCGATGTTTGGTGAGCCTTAGGTGTGAGGTGAGATTCACTTGTGTGGCTGTACTCAACTGTTTCCAATACTCTATCTTTCTTTTGTACAGAGTCACTGTCCTCTTGTTCTACCGGGAGTTTCAGCTCTTCTTCTTGGATGCCTGAAACAAAATTGGTCGTTACATCTTCAGCATTTGTTGTGGTCTCTATTGCCTTATCGTCTACCTCCTGCTTTTGAGGTAACTCTTCATCTTGGTTTTTGATCTGAGATTCTTCCGGGTGGATCCCATCTTTCTTCTCGGTTGTGTAGAATTTAAATTTGGGCTTGCATTCTTCATCTCGAGATCTGTTTTCTGCGCTCCTTCTTCCACATTGCTTGACTCTTGTATACTGGGCTTGACACTGTTTTGCTCTTCTTCACCTCCAATAACCACAGCTTTAACTATTTCCAAATCTTCCACAGCCACAACCTGCTTTTCTGTTGACTTCAAAGCTTGCTGTTGTAAAGCATTGGCACTTTCCGGCCTTTCCTCATCATTTTGTGATCCTTGAGTCTCATCTAAAGACACAAAGCTTCCTCCTGTGATACCAATATTTGTACATTCCTCAGTATTCGAAGACAGCAACAGATTTTTGTCTGGTATCGTACTGCTCTCTAAAGCTTTTGGGTCAGAGTACCTGCTTTGCAGCATTTGTCCTAAGTCAAGAACACTGTTTGTTTCATCAGTTTTGCTTTGTGGAATGCACACCAAACTCAATGATGGTTTTGCTTTTTCATTCATTGAAACCTCTGCAGTGGCAAGCGCTGGAAATTCATCCATTACTTCTTCTTTTTCAAAATCTCTCACTTCAGGTTCAGTTTTAAATTCCACCCTTTTGGTCTCATCTTTGTTTTCCTGTCCTCCCTCTGGATTAACTTTGTGTAGAGTCCGGCGATTAGAGCCAAACTTTCTCTTCCTTTGTTTAGATTGTTCTTGCAAATGATCACTTCCAATTTCCTCAGCCACATCCACAGCTTGCTCTGCTTTAGAGTTTGCCACAAGACCAGTGTCCAACGGAACCAGAGAGTCCGTTTTGTGTTTAGCAAAGAATTCAGATTCTGTGATATCCTGTGAAGCCATATTATCCTGGGCTTGTTGGTCTGTCTTCATAGGATCTTTCAATTTTCCGTCAACTTCATCCTTTTCAGAAACTGATCCAGCTGCAGTACTTGCTTCTCTGTTATGGTTGTCTATTGTGACATCTCCCACAGTTTCTACTGCATCGTTTGTCTTTTGCATATCTTTTTTTTCTTCTTTGTCACAAGATAAAGCTTCCTTGTTTTGGTTGTGATAGTCATCTTCTTGCTCAAGAGGATTGGAGGACCCTGTGAAGACAATGTCATCATGACAAGGAGTATTCTCTATGTCTAAACCATCTTTCAAACCCAATTCTTTCGGTGATAGTGTCAAGTCAGTTTTGTCAAATTCTGTAAGCTGACTTAAATTCTCCTCCTTGGGTTCATAAAAAGTGTCAGTTACAGTGTTCTTAACATGCTGCCTTTCTCTATTTCTATGACAAGAACTGTTCCCAATGGGGTTGATTTGCTGAAGTTCGGAATCTGAAGAAACATTAGTTTCAGATTGCAGTGCATGTAATGAAGAATCACTCTCCTCAACTGAGCAGTAAATATGTTGATGTACTTCTTCCACTTGGGTTGGCTTAACCTCCTCTTCATGTATTTCATTAACAGTGCCTCCTAAATGGTGACCTACACTAACCTGAGACAATGGCTCTTTTTCTTCCTCGTTTGAAGACAACTCTGTTGACTCTTCTTGCTCGACACTTTCATTATCAGGATTATCTCCTGGCTGGTCTTTTTCTGTAGGTATCTCTTGTGTGAAAGCTGACTGATTCATCTCATAGTTGCCCTGTATATTTCCATCCTGCCTGAAGAAATCTTTTTCCGTACCCCTTTCCTGCTCTGCTGTCTCTCCTGTTAATGGTATTTTTGTTGTTTCAACTTGTTTATTGTCTCCTGTCTCTTGAACAACTTCCTCCATATGTCTGTTGTATGATTCAGCAGGTGAGTCTTTGCCTAGTTTCCAGTCAATTTGTTGCTCTTGGGAGTTTGGAGCTGGCATTTCTGCTGGCAGGGTTTGTAAAGAGGATTCACTATCCTCATCCCAAAAAAAGAGGGCTTCTTTCTGAACGTGATCTGCTTGGTGACTTTCACTTCCAGGCAATACACTTTCAAGGTTGGTCTCTGGATAGTTTGATTTAGTGGAGCTTTGAGCCTCATAATCCAGAATCCCAGAAAGCATAGGGTCATCATGTGTTTCAGAGATGGTAGTATCGTAATAACTTCCTTGATGTAGTTCTTCCTGAGTTGCTCTTTCTGTTACTAATACCATTTGTGATGTAACCATTTCTTCATTAACGTCTTCCTTGTGTTCAACAGAGTCCTTAGCCTGCTGTCTGTCTTTATATCTTCGACTAGACCCCATTTTTTTCCGTTTTTTAATGAGGTTGGAGTCTGTTTGTGTTTGTGTTTGCTCTTTGCTACTGTTTGAGTAGTCCTGAAATGGGTTGTCCAAGGGAGCAATCACATCTAAAGGAGGGTTTTTTAAAGATAATTTATGTTCCTGGACGTCAGGGAGGATTCCTTCTTCTGCATGATGAAGCACATTGTAATCAGGATCTGGATTTTTGTGCATGTTTGCAAACTCAGTACTTTTCACAATCAACTCAAGTGGGTATGTATCACTCACTTGGTCCGTTGGGTGTCCAGAGAGAATTGCAGAATTTTTTTCATTAACAGTGCCTCCTAAATGGTGACCTACACTAACCTGAGACAATGGCTCTTTTTCTTCCTCGTTTGAAGACAACTCTGTTGACTCTTCTTGCTCGACACTTTCATTATCAGGATTATCTCCTGGCTGGTCTTTTTCTGTAGGTATCTCTTGTGTGAAAGCTGACTGACTCATCTCATAGTTGCCCTGTATATTTCCATCCTGCCTGAAGAAATCTTTTTCCGTATCCCTTTCTGTATTTTCTTTTTCTGATACAGAACACACTACTTGCATACATTTTTCCCCTGGCATTTCCATGACATTTGACTGGCCAACTGGCTGCTCATCAACAGTTAAAGTTGAATGTAAACTTAAACTATTAAGCTCATCAACAATTGAACTAACATGGTCATTAGTTTTATCTTGATCACAAACTTCCTTTGTTTGAGCAGTGTCAATGGGCTGCATTTCTTTCAAGATGGTGTCCATTTTTTCCTGCTCTGCTGTCTCTCCTGTTAATGTTATTTTTGTTGTTTCAACTTGTTTATTGTCCCCTGTCTCTTGAACAACTTCCTCCATATGTCTGTTGTATGATTCAGCAGGTGAGTCTTTGCCTAGTTTCCAGTCAATTTGTTGCTCTTGGGAGTTAGGAGCTGGCATTTCTGCTGGCAGGGTTTGTGAAGAGGATTCACTATCCTCATCCCAAAAAAAGAGGCCTTCTTTCTCCTGGTAACCTGTTTGCCCAAAGCACGATTTTATCTCATCCTCTACATGGCCTTCAGTCTTGTTAGCCTGACCAGGTGAAGTGTCCTCTCTGAATGCATTGCTGATCTGTTCTGGTTTCTTGGAATCATTTACATGATCATCATTTTTTGCTAGTTCCAAAGCCTCAACTTTGACATATTTTATAGGATTCTCTTCTAGCTTGTCGAGAGGATGCAAGTCTTCCTGCTTGCTAAGCGAATCATCAATACTTTTCACAGTCAACTCTGATTCGTAGATATTTCTGATTTCAGCTTCTTTTATCAGGTTTCCAGAAATTATTTCTACATTTTTGCTGGAATCATGTAACACACTTTCAGTGATGCTATCAATCTCTTGCATCTCTTGCATTTGTGTTAGCTTAACATTATTTTCATGCTCTTCTTTTAAATCATCCTCTGAATGATGAGCACCTTTGGCATCTTCATTGTTGAGAAAGACAGATTTGTCCATTCCTTCCAGATTCACTAACATTGATTTATTAGAATCCTCCACTCTAAAGTGTCTCTCTCTTTCAACGTGATCTGCTTGGCGACTTTCACTTCCAGGCAATACACTTTCAAGGTTGGTCTCTGGATAGTTTGATTTAGTGGAGCTTTGAGCCTCATAATCCAGAATCCCAGAAAGCATAGGGTCATCATGTGTTTCAGAGATGGTAGTATCGTAATAACTTCCTTGATGTAGTTCTTCCTGAGTTGCTCTCTCTGTTACTAATACCATTTGTGATGTAACCATTTCTTCATTAACGTCTTCCTTGTGTTCAACAGAGTCCTTAGCCTGCTGTCTGTCTTTATATCTTCGACTAGACCCCATTTTTTTCCGTTTTTTAATGAGGTTGGAGTCTGTTTGTGTTTGTGTTTGCTCTTTGCTACTGTTTGAGTAGTCCTGAAATGGGTTGTCCAAGGGAGCAATCACATCTAAAGGAGGGTTTTTTAAAGATAATTTATGTTCCTGGACGTCAGGGAGGATTCCTTCTTCTGCATGATGAAGCACATTGTAATCAGGATCTGGATTTTTGTGCATGTTTGCAAACTCAGTACTTTTCACAATCAACTCAAGTGGGTATGTATCACTCACTTGGTCCGTTGGGTGTCCAGAGAGAATTGCAGAATTTTTTTCAATAACAGTGCCTCCTAAATGGTGACCTACACTAACCTGAGACAATGGCTCTTTTTCTTCCTCGTTTGAAGACAACTCTGTTGACTCTTCTTGCTCGACACTTTCATTATCAGGATTATCTCCTGGCTGGTCTTTTTCTGTAGGTATCTCTTGTGTGAAAGCTGACTGACTCATCTCATAGTTGCCCTGTATATTTCCATCCTGCCTGAAGAAATCTTTTTCCGTATCCCTTTCTGTATTTTCTTTTTCTGATACAGAACACACTACTTGCGTACATTTTTCTCCTGGCATTTCCATGACATTTGACTGGCCAACTGGCTGCTCATCAACAGTTAAAGTTGAATGTAAACTTAAACTATTAAGCTCATCAACAATTGAACTAACATGGTCATTAGTTTTATCTTGATCACAAACTTCCTTTGTTTGAGCAGTGTCAATGGGCTGCATTTCTGTCAAGATGGTGTCCATTTTTTCCTGCTCTGCTGTCTCTCCTGTTAATGGTATTTTTGTTGTTTCAACTTGTTTATTGTCCCCTGTCTCTTGAACAACTTCCTCCGTATGTCTGTTGTATGATTCAGCAGATGAGTCTTTGCCTAGTTTCCAGTCAATTTGTTGCTCTTGGGAGTTAGGAGCTGGCATTTCTGCTGGCAGGGTTTGTAAAGAGGATTCACTATCCTCATCCCAAAAAAAGAGGGCTTCTTTCTCCTGGTAACCTGTTTGCCCAAAGCACGGTTTTATCTCATCCTCTACATGGCCTTCAGTCTTGTTAGCCTGACCAGGTGAAGTGTCCTCTCTGAATGTATCACTCACTTGGTCCGTTGGGTGTCCAGAGAGAATTGCAGAATTTTCAGTGTCATCATCGGTCACCCTTTCAGAGGAGTTATGGATTCCTTGCTTATGTGTTTGCTCAACATCTATTTTTTGTGATGAAAATTCTCCATGCTTAATACTGCATTCAGGTTCTGTATCCCCTGGGGGCCTGTGGTTTTCTGTGGTAATCTTTGGCACAAAAGAGAAATCGTTTTCCTCTGATTTTAAGCATGACTCATCCACCAAATAGTTACCTTGTAAATTTACATCTGGCCTTAACAGTTTGGTTTCCATGTCACTTTTCTCTTTTTCAGTTAAGCAATACAAATTGTGGAGTTCTTTGTCTGACATCTCTAATGATGACTGCACAGCCAGCTTTTGATCTACTGTTGAACTTAAGTGCAAATTTGAACTAGTTTGCTCACTGACATCAATCAGTGTGCCGACATCTGCATTGTGCTTAACTTGAGAACTTACTTCTTCAGTTTGATCGTTATCAAACATGTCTATCTCTGTCAGAGTGGTTTCTATTGGGTTGTCCTCCATATCTGTCTCTACCATTGTGGTTTCAAGGGATTCATAATCCTTTGTCATTTCCATGTCTTCCTCTGTATATCTGTGATATGGTTCAGCAGTTGTGGGGTTGTTTTGCAGAGGTTGTGAGTTTAAAGAAACCTGTATATCTGATTGCATGGTTTGAAAAGATTTGCTCTCCTCCATTTCAATAAAGAGCCCATTCTTTTCAAGATGGTCTGTTTGCTCAGAAATTAGTTTCATATCATTCTCTACTCTGCCTTCTATCTCGTATACTTGACCAAGTGCAGTGTCCACCTTTTCTTTATCACCAATCTGCGGTCCCTCGTTATAGTCTTCATTTCTGCAGTCAAAAGCACCAAGGTTGCTTTCTTCTGTGTGATGCTTTTCCTTTGTGTCATCAGGGTTTGAATGTTCCTGCTTGGTAACGGAATCATCAGTTATTTTCACAGTAGACCCAAATTGCTCAATGACTTCATCCTGGTTTATCAGGTGTCCAGAAAAAAAATCTGAATAATCCGTAACATCATGTATCAAGTCTTCAGAGGAGGGATGAATTTCCTCAATTTCATGACTTTGTGTTGTCTTAACCTCTGGGTCATGAGCTGTGTTTACTGCATCCTCTGTCTGATGAGCATTTTTGACGTCAGATAAGGTGAACATCTCTCTTCGCTCCTCTATTGTGGACAACTCTTCTTTTGGTGATGGACATGTTGCTTTCTCAACACTCCATTCATTTTCTGAATGCTCTTGAGGGCTGCTTTCATCTGAGATGACGAAAACATGTAGATTCTCTTTCACTTGGTTATTAAGTTTTCCAGACTGACAAGTATCGAAATTGGTAATTTCTTCCAGCCCAATTTCCACTGATTTTTCCGGCATTGCAATCTCAATAGGTAATGACACTTGAGTTTCCAACTCTTTGATACCAAATGTATTTTCTTCTACTTCCTCTGTTGGTTTGCAGCATGATTCACCATCAGAATCTTCCATCTGCTGTCCTTGTTTATTTTCATAACTTGATCCAAGTTTTCTTCTTCTTCCAGTGGGGCTAAAGTCTGCGTCATTGTGCTCACCTTTGGTCACAAAACTAACCTGCAGAAGAGAGTCAAATGGAGTTTCTATTTCTGAATGACTCAGTTGTAAAGAGGGTCTATCGGTGTCACTGGTCGGTGGTTTCTCGGCATCATAAACATAGTTACCCTCAGTCATGTTGTCAAAGGCCTCAAAGACGTTTTTCTTATTGTGCTGCTCATCATTTTTATCATCAGGAATGGAACCTTTTTGCTTGGTAGAATCATCATCAGTACTTTTTAAAGTGAACTCAACTTGGTCCAACAAGTTATCAGTGTCATTTATTTCAAGGCTCAGATGTTCATTGTCGTCATGAATTCCATACATTTGGGTTTTCTTCATAGCCTCTTCAATGAAATTGCTTGCATCATCATCTGAATGCTGAGCATCTTTGACTCTAGATAGATTTAAAATCTCATGTTCTTCCTCATTTGGTGATGAAAATGTTTCCTGCCGAAGTTCGTATTCAATTTCAGTATGCTCGTTAGTGCTGCTTTTTGTTGCTGTTGTTTCCACTGGTGGGGCAGACAACTGTGTGGCTGATTCTACATTTGACTCACTCACCAAACTGTTGCTCTGCAAATTTCCATCCTGCGTTAACACTTCTGTGTTCTCGCTTTCTTTTCTTTGACAGAATACACACTCGGATGTTCTTCTTCAGACAAATATGAAAGGCTTTCTTGTATCCAAGACACATCATGATCATAACCTTTACTTAAATTTCCCTCTTCCTCAGGTTTAAATGCCAATGACACTTGTGTTGTTTCAGGACTTTCATTACCCCTAGCCTTTTTTTCCTCAACTTCCTCTCTAAGTTTGTGCTGCGTGTCTGTTGCCGAGTCCTCGACATGCCTTCCTCCTTTATTTCTTCGACTAGACCCAAGTTTTCTTCTGTTACCTCTGAGTTCTGGTGAAGGGGGATTTTGGGTTTGAGATACCAAGTTGTCAGTATAAGCAAATTCATTTACTGATTTCTTGTTTTCCTCTGGTATGCTGTGTTGTGCAACAGAGGTGCTGTCTGTTACCAGAAACTCATCAGCCTCGCTCGTTTTATTTTGGTTTGTTACCCGGCGACGTGAACCAAGTCTTTTTTTCTTAGCACTTTGTGTGGACATGACTTCTAATCTTCTTTCCTAAAGCATGAGACATTCAGTCATGCAATGAATCAATAAATGAGGGTTAAATCTACTAACCATCATTGAAACTGAATCATGAAAGAAAAATGTGGAACTGTAAATATTTACTAAAAGTTTGTCTCCTTTAACTTAGATACTTTCAATACAAAGCAGCTCTCTAGATACACATTTAATTCTTACTGCTATTAACTTACTCATCCAGTAAGGAAACAAATTAGAAAATATTAATCATTTGATAGATTACTTCAGGCTTTCTACATAATCATTAAAACAGCATATGCACTTACCTCCCAAATCTGGCCCTTCTCTTATCTTATCACATGAGCTGCTTTGAAATGTCATCAGCATACACTGAGTGATAGTTAGACTGCACATAAGGGTTGTTCCTCAACTGCAACTATGACTGATAACTTCCTGTGTCGGTTGCCCCTGCAGCATACAGCAGTAACATACAGCACTTCCTGAACTGAATCAAGCAGAATTTTTCCATGTTCACTTTCCAAAATCATAAATTCATTGGATTTTTTAAATAATAATACTTCTGGTTTTCTGGAAACATACTAAAATAAAAACATACGCAAAGATATGTCACCTTGGAAAAACATTTATTGAACAAGTTGCATCAGCACAAACTGTCACAGCTCAGAGAATCAAGCAAAGATGAATGAATAGCGTGAAAATTTACTTTAGTAAAAGTGTCAAAAGTAAAATACACTTCTACATGCGATAGACTTTCAGGACAGCACCAGTATTTACAATAACTCAAGTTTTGTCTGCTCTCTGTCATTGGTATAAGTATGCTCCTTATGTCAGTGATGCAGCTCCCAGTTACCCACTACCAGTTTTTTAAGAGTGGACCAAGAATTAAAAAAAACAGTTAAAAGAAAAAACACAACAAACTTTAATCAAACAGTTAAAAGAAAACCGTATCGCAATATAAAACTACCCAATATGCAATTTTCAGACATTGCATTTTATGCATTATAGAGTAAGATCCAAGGCCAAAAATGTTTTTCAGTAAAATGGGCAAACCTTACCATGAGAACCATCAAAAGGAGAAGAATATTTCAGTCCACTGATGATATTTGAGAAGATTAGAATTACACAATATGAATCTTGGTCAACCTTGCACTGTCTTGAGCTGGCAAACACAGTCTAAAAAGACCAGCATGACTTAAAAAAATTGTATTTTCCAAACCATGGCCAGATTTTCCTGCTGACCCATAGTTTGAGGTCACTTCCTTTCGTTAGATCGGGAACGGCTGGAAAATAAAAAACAGTTTCATTACTTTAATGATAATCAAATCTTAAGAGTATAGCATTATAAAAATCACTGAATCTTAAACTTACCTTGCTGATCGTGAAAAAGATCTTGAACGCTTACGGTTCTTGTCTTTGGAGAGAGAGCGATATCTGTTCTTGTCTTTAGAAAGAGACCTGGTGAACAGAACCAAAAAAATAATATAAAAGACAAATAATTATTAATTGCAAACAAAAGTTCAAATTAAAATAGTTAAGCTTACCTGCTGCGACTGCGGCTGAGTGTCCTCCTCCTTGGTGATCTAAAATGCAGTTGAGGTTCAGAAATGAAGCATAGAAATTAGAAAGGAGAACTTTATACTTCCTATTACCAATGAAATCTTTGGTATCCTTCATCCTCAAAGAGACATGGGTTTCATGTGGTTACACTTAGTTACTGTCTGTTAATAAAAGGATCATATGCATCCATGAACTGCATCAAGAGCAACTCTTGAAAAGGATATTGTCCAGTGAGCACAGTCACAGAGCCAGATTTCAGAAAAAAAAATCATGTCTCGACATTAAAGTGTACAATAGCATTGAAATCTTTGGTAACCAGCATGTGTTGGCTCTTAAGGTTTTCCTTAAAGCAAAAGCGGAAATTTGAACCTTCATTATTTGAAATCTCTTGTGCTTGAGGTAAAAGGACATTTTCTTCAAAGGGGGGGGGGGGGGTGCATATCTCTAATGAATATCTCTTGAGATGGCTTAATGTCGAGCTATGAATATGCAAACAGCAGCACAATTACTCAGTGAGCATCCCATTAATGTAGTTCATTCTGGCAAATAAAATTAACAGACAGCAAAGTTCCTGGACCACAACTTTTGGTTTTTTTGCAGCTCTGCACTGAAATTGGTCTAAATTACACAATGGCTGAGGGAAAACCATCAAGCAGCCCTGAAAGCTAAACCAAGCATAAAAACCAGAAAGAGCAGGATAAAAGCAACTTACTATTTATGGGGATTTGGACAAGATAGAAATGACGCAAGGACGCCAGACTGATGGTGAGAGGGGTCGAATTGCAGAGAAGTTTTGCCACATGATGCAAATGTTGGAGATATGAAGTTGCTTGGTGGCTGGTTGGAAGGGGTAGTTGTTGATTGTCCCTGCCTTTTTTGGGGGGAAGGATGTGAAGGGATGTAAGCCAAGGGCTGTTCCCGTTGACACAGTAGTTGTGTGGAGAATAAAGAGGATAAAGACGCTGATTGGCTGAAAATGTGAAGTGGACCGTTGTCGATTGGATTAAGGTTGTAGGAAGAACAGGCGGCTGCTTGGAACTGCATGCTCAGGAACCAAAAGGTTGGTGGAACCTGACGGCTTGCCGTGGGCCTGGGTCATGTGACAACACCAGCCAAGCTGATTGGGGCTCGCTGGACAGCGGTCACATGATGCTGAAAGAGGACTAGTTGACTGACTCAGATGGTGAGAAGCGTGGTGGTGACTCTGCAACGGGGTTCATTTTAATTAATAGATGGCAACTGAACTCAAGAGAGAAAACAAAATTTACACCTGCAGAAATTAATTCTAGTAATTATCTATCAATTTTTAATGGATGTTAAAGTGCTAACTGTACTTTTTAAGGTATCCTCGTAGGCAATATTACTCTGCTAGAGCTTCAAATATTTTACAAGTCAACTGTTACTAGAGTTCATAAATAGTCAGGTGGGGCATAAGCTGCCATTAAACTTAGCAGAGATTTAAAAAACACTCTTGACACATGACAATGACAAATTAAGTTTGTTCAAAACATTTCACTCCAATCAGTAAAGAATTATGTAATCGACACACCAAGGAAACAGTTTGAAAGACCTGATCAAGTCCAGATCCACAGATTACCTATTGGTGAATTTAATAGAAATCAACAATTAAATGTTGGCCAAATATTTTTGTTTGGCGTTAATGTCAGGGGTTTTATAGGCGTAACCTCTAAAGTCACTGCAAGTGCAGATTTAAACTGCTGTGCCAAATTAATATTTGGAAGGGTAAATTAAAGTAAAAACTAGGTGTGGGGAATGTAAATCTGCAAAAAAAAAAGAAAATAAGACTGTGAATAAAACATTCAAGTGGATTCTTAAAGAGGAACTACATACCTGCGTCTCCCTGGAGGACTTCGCCGCCTTAAATTATCCCGAGGGCGCCTACCCCAGGATGGAGGAGGTCCACGGCTCCTTGAGCGCCTCTCCCCTGTGGATAACTCAACACGGACTTGAGAGCCACACAATGTCCTAAACAAAAGTCATCACACGAGATGATGAGTAAAACAAAAACAAAAGTAGATCAAATGCTAAAACTGCTTAATCATGTTTCAAAGCACGTACCTTCCATCCAGCTCTCTCACAGCATCAGTTGCATCTCTGGGATCTTCAAACTCTACAAAAGCAAAGCCTGGGGGATTCCTGGCGACCCACACACTTCTTAAAGGACCATAGTACCCAAAGGCTCTTTCTAACTCTGTCTTGTTTCCATGATTTCCGAGATTCCCAACATAAACCTTGCAGTCAAGGGGACAGTCTCTTTGAAGAGCAGGGTCTGAAAGGAAGTCGTGTACACAAATGTGGAGGAATATGATGAATGTAGCATTAAAATATTATAACCTACAACCTAATTTATATAACCAATTGAAGATGTGTAAGCTATATTAATACATTACAATCAAAATGGACAATAAACTCAAAGCATCCTATTTTGACTTTACTATGTATCATACATCTGCTGTGTCAATATTTAATATGAAGCTACATGTAGTATCAGAGGATTAAACAAAGGTTGAAAAAGTTAACCAGCTGTCGGCCAGCTAACTGTAAGCACATAACTGTTAGCTGCCCAATCTTGAAACAATGTCATCCTTCAGGGCAAAATCCTTAGTAGCTTATCTAGGCAATACATTAGCTAATTTCCAAGTATAGAAAGTAGTTTCTACAAGTTACTTAATTCAATAATGAATGGCACCCATAAGTTTCTGTCTTATCAATCTCCATAGACTCTTTTGTCTTGGTATGGGCTATGCTAAATTCACATTCTTCGTTTTGATATGTTTAGTACTTATTTACTTTGTATTTAATATTATATTATGTTTAGATTTGCTAACATTGTGTTTTTTACTCATTGTGTGTTGGATAACCTGCTGCTGTAACGCCACAATTTCCCAGTTTGGGATCAATAAAGTAATTCTATATTGTAATGGTCACTTAAACTTGGCTCTTGTAGCTGAAATCATGACGCGCAAACTACGACCTAAGGTGCACCATTGGGTGCTGATCGGCTCACGTCCATCATCAACCTATAGAGACAAGCTTAGTAAGTCAAGTATTTTCCCCTGAAGCAGCAAGTTTATCTCTTGTTCAGGTTTTACTCCTAATGGACAAAAACTACAAACTGTTCTTTGAAAAGAAGGTGACATTGTTAACATATAAATACATTTGTGGATGCACAGGTTTTTATGTTAATATGTAAATCTGACAACTGGTTTGATTTTAAACCCCTGCAGAACTCTTACTAATGTCTCAAACTATGTAGACTCCATTAGTAGGAGGGGTCGCTGAGTTTCAAGGCCTTACATGGCTGAGGTTTTCACCAAGAAGAAGCAAATGAGTCTTCACAATTTACCTCCCATTTCAACCTGGATCAAATTACTTCTTCCTGTTGTCCCACAGTCAAGATGTGTCTATGGGGAGAAAAAGACAGAAATTGTTGTCTGATTAGGAGTCACCCAAACATTGCATCAGTGTTTAGTTAGTTATACATTGATAGTTTAATGAGGGAATAAATTATTTCACTTTCTTTAATGGATAAATATATAATATTAAAATTTGAATGTAGTATAATTAACTCTTTTTCTGAACAGCTCTGCTAAGCCAAATGAAAGCACAGGAGAGCTCTCACAGTGAATGAGTTGTATCCTGTGTCCCATCGTCACACTTATGCTAATGCTAAGCTAATCGTAGCGTTGGCCACACATTGCCGTGCAAAGCTAACTCTAGCTAACCATCGATAAAAAGGTAAAAGGTAAGCATTCAGTTTAAGAAAGACTCGGCTATTTGACGTGTATCATTCAATTGGTAATCGCATCTGGCAAAGCTAACTACAACCCGCCTAAAAACAAGCCATGCAAATATGAACGCTGTGTTAGCCAAACCCAGATATGGTAGCTAGCATGGTTAGCATGTGTGAAGCAGTCAGTGTTAAACCGGTTAGAGTATCAACTCTTCAGCAAACTCACCGGCAAGGTAATTCATTAAAACCATGCAGATACATTTGTCGAAAAAAAGGTGCAAACTCACCCTTGCTTAGTAGTTTCAGTTCGACAGGAGGTTTTTTCCACGCCGCTCGTTTCAGCCGCTTAACTTTTTATTAAAACCTGTTTCAAACAGGAAGAAAGACACGAGACAACAAGTCGCGTTTCAGCTCCTCGAGCGGGTTGAAACAGGTGTGAAAGAAAATACTGCCACCTACTGTGCCGGAGGGGTAATGGTCAAATAACTAAATGTAGGCTCATGAAACATTATTAAAACTATTCTTTACGACTTGAATTGAAAAAATATCTTGAATGAGAAGAAACAAAACAAAAAAAACATTAAAACGTTTTCACTGGTACTTTTTTTTCTCGAAAATGATAATATAGGCTGTTTATAACTTAATTTAAATAGAAATGTTTATTTTACACACACACACACACACACACACACACACACACACATATCTTTATTTATTTACATATATTTATATAGTAGCCTCAGCTCTGCACTACTGTGGTACAACACTGCCTCTCTTCTCTGCTGTTTTACATTACTTGCTGCTATTTATCATACCAAGTCACTTTAATCATCACTTGTCCCTTTATCTTGTCATTCTCTGCAAATACTGTCTCAATTCCCTGCATAATTAACTTCATCATTCATTTTGTACTTGTATATACCCCCTGTCGTATCTATTCTGTTTAATGTGTATTTTGAGCTTTCTTGTCTGTGCTGCTGCAACGCCCAAATTTCCCCTCTGGGGATCAATAAAGTATTATCCTATCCTATCCTATCCTATGTTACAGAAATGACTGTATCTAACAATATAAGCGTTAAATCCAATGCTTGCGATCAGTGGAATCCAGAAAAACTTTAATTTCTATAATATGTCCATTGGAATCGGTGTAAATTGGGTTGTTAGTGTGGTGATTGCATGGTAAACTTATTTTTGTGGGAATAAGTTTAGCACAATTTTGTCTCACATTTAAGGCATGGTAAATATGTGAAATTATAAACATGTTTTGTTTAGTATAGCCACGTGTGTTTTCAGACTCCACAGCAAATTTTGTGTTTCTACCTCCATCTGTGGAACTTTTCCTCGCCGTCTACATTACCTTAAGTAGCTGGTCATTACATTGTTTTTTTATGAAACAGGTCACAAGTTTATAAGTTTGTATTTCATACCTCTGTAAGAACATTTTAAATATATGGCATTTACTTGTGCTTCAGGATTTCATTGTTGTTCTGGTACTTGTAGTAAAGGTTCTATACTTCTTTCAACACTTAAATTGAACATTTTAATAATGACATGTTTGAACAAGGTTCCAAATGTTCAAATTTGGCTTCAAGCCTCTTATGACAAATATGTGCAATAAACAAATCCTTGCCAAATAATATTCAGTGCCAAACATAAGGCATATACAACTATACTACATAAGTACATTGTTGAAACAGTGGCAGACATTTGATCTTTCATTTGTGGTTTCATGTTGAATGGAATAAAATGTATTCATGTATTCTGACCTTATGAACAAAAACAGTTAAGGCTACTTTCAGCAACCACGTGATCAGAGCAGGGAACATGAGTAACTCAACAGAGCATGAGGAGGTTGTTGCTCAACAGGACAGAACACCACAAACAAACACTTGTGAGCGTTCAGGAGGGTGGTACAATACTGTATGTACACTTCCTGTATACAAACACATTTAGTGCTGAGCAGAGGAAGTGGTGTAAGTAACAAAAGTCTTTGTAAACCTCTCTGACCCTGAATCAACCTTTCACTCATCAAGAAACAAAGAATAAGGCTGATTATAAACTTCATTTTATGGTTGGAGTGTCTGTCTAAAAAACTGAAACTTTCACAGGTTTTTTAGTTGTAGAAGTCCTGCATGAAAACTAGTTTTGACACTGACTACACATACAGACAGTATGAAATTATATAATGTGTTTAACTTTGTTTCACAGAAACAGCTCTCAGAGATCAGAAACAGAGAAACTAAATACATTCCAAAGGCAGAATTGAAAACCACTTATCAGTTGAAAAGAACGGATACAATTAGGTAGAGCTATAAAATATCAAGGGAGGAGGTTGTTTAGAGCATGTTTAGACTTGTTTAGTCAGATCTCTTAGCAGACACAAAGAGATGAACTTTTTGTCTTCATAAAAATGCTGTTAAATTTACAAATGTTTCTTTTTTAAGAGTTTAAACTCACTAATAATTCAACAAACCACTTATTAACTCTCTGTGCACCAAACATAAGAGCTTTTGGTCATACCTTCCTCTGCGAACCATTTTAGCTTTTCAAATATACACATGTATGTGTGGTTTGTCACTGTGAGTAAAAATGTCTCTACTGTATGCACATTTATTTGAGCACTGCGGTCCTTTCCTAAAGTGTTATGTTTTCTTCCACTTTACTTTTACAACTTATGAGAGCAAAGGTTGCTTTACTTTCACTTCACTGCATTTATCGTATAGCCATAAAAACAGATGACCTCACTTAAAAGATACAATGCAAAATACTCAACATTATATTCAAAGTTTGAAACTAGTTCCAACTCCAACAGCTACAACTTGAAAATGCCTTTACAGCCAATAAGAGGCCAACACTATGATAATGCACGGTGACAACAACAGACGACGGTCCATGAAGAGTACTTTATTTAATAAACACTTTATTTTAAACTTGGAGTACAACTTTAGCTGAAGCGATTAGCTTAAAAGTTATATCTGTCACAGTGGCAAACTTTATGGATTTAAAAAAACTCTTTGATCGTTTGTTGTTATAGACATGCGGGCAGATTTGAAAGGAGTCCTCATAACTCCTTATTGTAAAAAAATAAACAACAAAGAAGACAATTTGTGGTTCAAGTTGAATTAAAAAAAAGTTTCCTGCTGTTAGTCACAGTTTCAGTTTGCCAGGGGTCTTTTATTTAGGGTCCTTGGTAGACACAGCAGTAAAGAATTCTTTCTTCAGAGGGCAAAAGTTCAGGGATAAAACGGATCACTCAGGGGATTACCTCCATGTACGTAACACGGATGCCTAGAACACAAACAAAGAGCATTATGTTGCTTAGCTTTATTTTAGTGCGTGTGTGTGTGTGTGTGTGTGTGTGTGTGTGCTTGTATGAGAGAGAGAGAGCTAAAGCGGGCGTTTCTCTAAAACCTCTCCACACCACTTGACATTTTTATATCACCAGAAGAAGAAGTGTGTTTTCTTTGAACATGTCCTCCTGCTGCCATCGGATTCTCCTTTTAGCCGTTCAAATGAAACATCTCTTTTTTTTTTTTCTCGTGCCTCCACTCAGGCCAGTATTTTTCAATCAGATTAGTACAGCACATTCTGTTCTGTTTCACTTCCTGATGACTGTACAGCCTGTATCCCTGAATGAACTCACCCGCGTGCTTCTGGTTACACCAAGACACTCATTCAGACAGACCTATTCTCCCTAATGCAGGTTGGATTTTAATACCTCTGTAAATATTACAGCAAGAAGTTGACTTGTTTTTTTTATTCAACAAATAATACAAGTGTGTTTTCGTTAGAGGCTAATCATTCACATTTTTGAACAGAATGGGGCTTTAAAGTTTTAAATATGAATAACAAGTTATACAAATATTAAAAGTCATTTTCACCAGCCACAAACATTTAAGCATTTACAGTACTAGTTCACTTTCATAGCAGATTGCTGGAAATGTATTCATGCTTCTCAGTTCAGCTCAGGTCGGTCAGTTCATTTTTGACCTCAACTTCTGCATACAGTCTGGGGAACTTGCCAACAAAGCTACCAGGACACCGCAGAACAGACGAAGGCTGAGAAAACAAACAAATCCCCGTCTGCGCAGTAGTTAACTGTCATGGGAATTTAAGAAACTTAAAAATATAGCGTCTATAACTTCAGGTGGCTTGTAGTGCATGGTGAGGGCTGGTTGTGTTATTAGTTCACAGTCACTCTGTCATGCAGCCCCCCCCCCCCTTCTGCTCTCACTGTGAATTAAATGTACTGACTGGAGAGTACATGTGAAGCCTACTTTCTTCCAATAACTGATTGTGCAGAAGATTACTCAGTCGGTTGACAATGTCCCTGTGGGTTTGCAGAATCAGGTTCACTCCTGTTATGTCACCTTTGTAATTAACAGGATCATCATGTTCCCTTCAATAGCTAACTGGCTGTCTGCCAGCAGTGTGTGGTCAGACAGTGTCCTACCACCTCTGACTGCGAGATTCACCCTCCACAAACCTGCAATAAACTTTTAACTCCATGAGTGCCACATGCTCAAGGCAATGAGGAATACACTCTCTGACATTAACTAATCTTTTCAGTTGACTTTCTTTTAGATACACTAACAACGAGAATTATTTTATATATATTTTTAGATTTGAATTGTTTGAATGCAAAAATATGATAGACATAAATAACCAACCGCCAGTGAGCCCGCTGTAATGCAAACATCCTGTCTGTATATCATGATGTAGTATCAGTAGCCCGCTCAAGCATAAAGCCATAAAACTCTTTTACAACTGTTATGGAAATTTCAGATGCTTCCTGAAGTACAGTATATTGCTTCAGTTCATCTTTAAACATCTCAATTATGTATGCAACCATTAAAATGTGGTGGTTATTCTAAGTTGTAAAATTAAATGACCCTGTAAGTCTACTGCAGTGTCACCTTTATTCAAAGTAAAATGTCCAAAGTTTGTAAAGAGTGTGGGAATCAGCGCTAATGCTAATGCATAGAAAACACGAGTTTGAAAAGTCTGATTTCCAATATAAACCACTTTTAATAGTGTTAGTGTGTGAAACAAATGATCACATAGAGACCTTCTGCTTGGGATTTCATCACATGTGGTTAAAAAATTTGTAAATGCCAGCTCCCAACTACTCTCTAACGTGACATTTTAAATTCAAAACTCATGTGTTAACCATGATGCCTTGTGTTGACAAACTACCAGTTAACAGATAGACGAAGAAAAGCTTCAATATGGGGGCGCCGGATAGGCTAGCAGTTATGTTGCACCCACCGTATGGTGGCTATGGTTCCCGTCATAGTAGCCTTGGGTTGGAATCCCACCTCTGTCCCTTTCCTTGCTGCATTTCATCCCCCTCTCTACTACCAACATTCTCGGTCTCTCTCTAGCTGTCCCATACAATAAAGGCAAAAATGGCCCCCCATAAAAACTTTAGAAAAGCCTCAATATGTTGCTGAATTTATGTTAACCTTGTGTGAAATTCTCAGATTTTTCTAAGCAATATTTCATATATTTAATGCTGTGATGATGACATTATTTTTTACTGTAAAGGATGTTTTTCTATTCATATTGTAGTGACTTGTTAACCTATTTATACTCACTACTCCAAGATAATAAAGCAGGAGTTTAGAAAACCACGGAATAACCCGGGCTAAAAGAAAAATGTACACTTCTACTAACATGAGAGAATATGTTAGTTAGGAAGTAATCAAAAATAAATGCTCAAGGGATTTTGACCTAGTGGTTCTTATGTATTTTCCATAAAGTTTTGTTTAAAATGTTATATGCTTCATATTGTATTGCCATTATAACTGGAACAATATCCCATATAATATAATGGCTTAAACATTCAAACATTGAAACTACCAAACTGTACTGACATTTGACTTACTGACCGTATCATACTCACTATGCTTTACATTACTTTAAATGTGAAGTTATATTTCATGCACCCTAAAGCTTGTTTTATGGGTCACATAAACATAACATGAGACGGTTTATTACTGTAGCTCATTGTTGAAGACTTTTACAGTGAGCAGTTTTAATGGTCAGATTAAAAACCCACAGAAACAGTTATGGATGATGTGGGAAGAGTAGAAAGACAACATTATTTTTCCTCTTGTGCAGAATAGCATGCTCTGTTTTCAGTGCAGAAGATTTGACTTTCAAAACAAGAGCTCATAAAAGATGATGCATTGAAACTACAACCAAAGTTATAAAAGAAAGATTACACAACTTGCACGAGGCTAACACGTATAAATTATCATTAAATACTTTGATAGCTTCATGGCACACAGGAATCATTCCTGGAATGTTTCTTCATTGGTTCTTGTTTGGTTAGACTTTCTGTGACCTTTAACCTCCATGTGTGCACTGCCCTGGAGGTTTATGTTGAACAAACTCAAGATTACCTCTGAGAAATTTTGTCTTGAGGTTATCTGAAAATGTTGAGGAAATGGGAAAAGTTACAAGGTTCCTAGACAGTTATATACTACAATCTGGAACATACTGTGTGGAAAGGAACACATGTACTCATTTCATATCTGTTCACAGAGGCACATGCTGCTCATAAAGCCTGAGGAGATAGTAATGAGTCTGACCTATTGACCTATAGCCTACAACAGCACAATTAACCTAAAGCCTACAACAGTAGGCTTTAGGTTAATTGTGCTTAAGATAATTACGGCCAATAATTGTAAATAAGTCAGCAGTGGCCACTATAGTGGCTCTAACGTAACACAATGAGTAGAGGTGTCAGGTGATTCAGGAAAGAATAAAAATGTCCTGGGAGTTGGCAGTTTGAGCTTATGGATGGTTACCAATATGCCATGTTGCAATTAGAATAAGGAAGGTAACTAGCTAACTTTGGATGCTGTTCTTTTTAATACCAAACCAATTGGCCTCGTTTTAGTGCCTAAACATGACTTCATTTTTTCTTCTTTTTTTTTACAATATTAGCCATATGTTTTTGGCTACGTGTATTACCCATGCAGAGATGGAGAGTCTTGGATATGTATTTCCATAGGTAGAAGTGTTTACTTGCAAAAAAACGTAATTTGTTAATTCATGAACATGGTAATTAAGTTACTAAACTTATCTGATCATAATGACTTTTCAGAAATATGTGCAAGTGAGAAGAAGGTACTCTCATTAAATCTCAAAGCAGCATTACAGCTGTGACACAGGTCAGAACAATGAGGTGTTCCTAAAACCCCTAAGAAGGTAATAAGTGCTATTATAAAATGTCCTTCTAGAAATCAAATGTTTATCTACTTTGTAGTTTAAATGAAGTTTTTTAAAACCCTTGCTTCCCTATTCATCAGATAAGAGCTAGCTAGCATGTGTTAGTGTTAGCTAATCATTGAAGAGAGCTGGGCTAATGTTGATGTCTAAACTAAGAGCAAATTGTTTGCTGTGAAAATTAAAACGTGTTTAATATCCTAAACAATACAATAATGTCATGTCTTGGGGCAGTTACACTGAACAATATTGAGCTAACTTTTGAAAGCAAGTTTTAATTACTTGTGCTGTGCCAACATTTATTGTAGATTATCTTAAATAATAAGCGTCATGAACACGCCTGTAGCCTACCAAATTTCAGGCCAGAAAGAAAACCAACTTGGCTATAGTTTAGGAGGAGGTGACCAAACTGTGAAAGACTACTTACTATATGGCACTGTATAGCCCTTGATGTTCTATCACAAAAACATGCTTTGAAATGTACAAGTAAATTATTAATAATGCACAGTTTAGTTAATGTTTTCTAACATTTAACATCATAACTGATAAGACAGATTTTTAGAGAGTTACTGTAGGCCTATATGCATGTAAGCCTATTGTTAGCAACCCCATATAGGCCTAGAATAATTTATTACATAGGCTATACAATAGCCTTCTAATACCAGCACTCTTTGTGATTTTTATGTTTCCACCAGTCTGTTCTTCATAGTTCTATGTTTATTTTTGTCAGTCTTTGTTTAGCTTTCTTGTCCCTGTTTTAAGCTGTATGTCTATTTCTGTCTTCCTGGAAATTGTTCTTGGAACAGTGTGTTTACATTAACAGCAAATTGAAACCAGATTCAAATTCCTTTTATGTGTCGCCTTCACTTACTTACTCAAGTGACAGTTTTTACATGGGTTTATTTATCCTTCTTGCTAACTTACTTAGCCTATTTCTTTGTAGAAGATCAGTATATTTCATTAAAATATACAATTTGATAGGATAAGTGACTAAATATTAGTCTAAAGTCTATAAGTCACATAAAAAAGACAAGAAATATATAATATAATATAATATATATATAAAACAAAATGCCTATATTTTTATAAAAAATATAAGTGTATATTTATACAGCCTATATAGCCTATGGCTACTTTTAGTAGCATATTTCTACATTTGCATTATGCCATATAGGCTAATAAATCTGCAATTAATAAGCCTAAAACCCCGCATTAATGTAAACATCGTTTTTAGGTAAAATGAACCCCAAAGTCACACAAAAATGAAAAAAAACAAATTAAGCATAGATTAAATAGGCTAATCGTTTTTAGTTAATAGTCGTGCTCACTTGTGGAAAGTCAGTCTTTCAAATAAGTTAAAGAAGTAGGCTATAAAAGTATTAGCTACAAAAAAAAGTACAGCATTAAAATGTCCGGGCAATCCAAAACGGATTTTTTTGACCGTCCCTCGCAGCGACAGTAATCCGTCTCAGCGCGCGTCTTATCGGGGAAGAGTGTGCTTTTATTACGGTGCTTACACTTCGCAGGCAGACAGACAGGCTAGGACTGGGCTAGTACACACAGCAGTGTTGATGATACGTGTTGTCAGCTGAGCGGAGAGAACAGCCTGCTGCGGTACAGCCTGTTCCCGGCCTGGCTCGGCACGGAACGGGTTACAGGTCAGGGTGTCTATTGGAACACAGTGTTCTCGTCAGCAGCGGCAGCAGTACAGCTACAGTACAGCCGGAACATTGTGTTACTTTGTGGCTGCTTTCCAAGACCTGCCCCTTAATTTTACACTAAACACCCTCCCACAACTCTACTCTACTCTATTCTCTCTCTCTCTCTCTTTCTCTCTCTCTCCCTCTCTCCCCCTCTCTCTCTCTCTCTCTCTCTCTCTCTTTTTCTGCCTCTCTCTCACCAGTGTCATTTCCAAGTCTGAGATCCATGTGGCTACTGCACCGGCACGTTTATCGTCAGCAGAGGGGATAAGGGATAAAGGGGGTGAGTGAAAAAAAAGGGGCAAAAACAGCGCTACATAGTAAGCACATGTGCAGAACATTTAGTACCCTGGATGATACGAGATGAGAGGGGTGGCTTGAATTAGGAGGAATACGACGCGATTTAAAGTCTACCGACAGGATTTCCAGCCGATCACTGGCCGTTTTTTTTTTGGAAAAACCTTAAAACAGGATCTCAAGGTATTGTGAATTTTTATTTAGGATATTTATCAAATCTCTTATACTGCAAGTAGACTTAATTAAGCAGTTAATGAACACAGGCTATGTCTCCCGGCTTTTTGATGCTCTCTGTTCACGTTTGACTGAGTTAAAAGGACACTTGTTATACATCGTAAAGATAGACTTTTGTGTTGAAGCTTCTAAATATCCTTAAGGACTGGGATACAAAAAAAAAAAAAACTGTCACAGAAAAACAAGATGGTCCGATAGACCTAATAAGATGTTCTAGGATGGATGTTAGATTTGCCACTCCGTCGGGGTATTTGAGGTTAAACTCAGCGGTATCCAAGTGTATTCTGGTAAATTAGGGCTGTTTGTGTGTTTATAGGGGAGGGTGTGTGTGTTAATGTGACACTTGGCTGTTGCTTCTGGAGATGGATGGAGACAACAGTTTACATGCAGAATCCCTTTAAGCTCAGGTGTATATCTCATTGAATTACAGGTTGCCTAACCCTGTTTGTGAGAATAAGTAACATTAACTGTGTTGATTCTAAGCTGATTCATATTCATTTGGAACCAAGCTGCATATTACAGGGTATAATGATAGACTCTAAATAACTTTAAAAATACAGGTGTTATCATACATGTGTTTAGATTTGGATGAGGTTGTGCAATTAAAGCAGAGAAGGCCTGCTTACGTGGACACCGTTTGAGAAAAAGTCAGATAGCCTATTAAGGATCTAAAAAACATATAAATGATGTCTTGCTCTGATACACCAATTTGAAATTGTTTCACAACAAAAGGATGGTCAGTGATTACCTCATAAAGACAGAGCAACTTCTCATTCAAGGCGCCAAGGCTTATAATCTATCATAGCAACATCTCCAGAAAAGAGCTGACCTTAAAGCCTTCATGCTTTATTAATACTTTCTGTAGTGTGTTTGTCTGAAATAAGAGAGAGAGAGAGAAAAGAAAGACAGTCCTATATTAGAGCGCTCTGTGGTTTCAGGTTTCAGCCTCTGTCATACACAAAGTGTGCTCACATGTGCATATGTGAATCAGCAGCAGAGCACGGATGTGAGACAGAATGTACAGATACAACGTGTGCGTCTGCTGTGGATGTGGTCCTTGCCTCATTGTGATCTGTTCCTGCATTCCTCCGTAGGGTATCTCAGTTTGGTACATGGCGCCTACATGCCGTTTTATCTGTGTCTGAAATGTTTACACTTGCTTTCACTGTTCAGTGTTTCAGAGAGATAAAAAAAAAAAAAAAAGTTTCATAGGAAAATCGTTTCACCTCAAATTAAAAGAATAACTTTTCATTAGGCCTATGTGAGTTCATTGGTGATTGCAATGAATCCACGTCACTTGTTTTATTTATATTTAAAATGTGTGTGTTCATGTGAATATCAAGACTTTGTCAATAAGCATAATTGAATGATTGATATCCTCTTCCTTACCTTCAAAAATTTAAGCTGTGTTGTACGTGAGGGGGTCTCAGAGTGGTGAACACCAGCAAGCTCGGCCAGCGGGGAACTGTGAATAGAAGGAACATTGTGTCCAGACACACACACACACACACACACACACACACACACAAGAAGAAGAAGGAGTTACATCTAAAATTAAAACTATGAAATTGAAAAGACATCAGACAAGGTGTTGCAGAGGAGATGGACATTTTGTCCCGTGCTCATGTTGGGAGAGTTCAGGAAACGAACACTTGATCCCTGGGAGTGATGCAAAATTGCAGGAGCACAATGAATTGTGCAGACAGCACTGAGAAGGATCTTTATGGGATTTACCTTTTGGGTCAAAGCACACAGATCATGGTGACTGGTCTTTCTGAGTCTAAGAAAACGAGTTCAAATCTCCATCAATATCCAGCACATTGTGCTTCTTCCTCATTGGGCAAAGCTCTGTTACTTCATTTTCATACTAAAGGGCTCTCTAGGAACTCAGTCACCACGGCAGGACGTCCAGACATTTGATCATCAACGGCAATGCGGGATGTCCTTAATCGTGAAGAGAGGACAAGTGGTGGAAAAATCTGGAAAATGTGTGCAGGGAAAGAGAGCAGCCGTTCTATACTCTCATAATGGCCTCGGGCACGTTTTGTATCCTCGGACAAATGTCTGAGGAAATGTAATGAGTCAAATTAGCTTGACATAGATCTCATACTTTTATGCTCATAAAACAAATACAACTAGTCATGTGGATTGAAATCATTTAAATATGTGTTTGAAAAGGGATTCCTCTATCAAAATGTAGATAATCTCTGCAGCAAACCTTACTTAATGTTACATAACATCAAGTGCTTTGAACTTAAAGGACGGCTGAGAGTTACAGTAATGTTTGATAACTAAGAGCTATGACTCCACCATCAGTGAGATTATCTCTTATCTATATTCAAGTAGTTCTTTTCACCATAGACAACACAAGCGTAGCCGTATATAAAAGTCCACCTTTTGGGAATACAAATCGTCAGCCAACACTGAAAATGGTAACTTATACTCCTTCTCTTTGCCTTCACCAAATATTTTTAAATGAAATATCTCTCTACCTTTATTAACACTTATTATTCAACATGAAGGAGCATTCGACAGTGTTGTGAGTTGTGACCAGCTGAAACTTCTTGCTGGTCAGCCTAACTTGTATTCTCTCCAATGTGGATGTTACATTTCTATTTGCAACAGTAACTTCACAACCCTGGCAAAAAAAAAGTCCTCACATTGGTAACACCACAACACAGAACAGCTGTGAGCTGCTGCTATTCAAGCAAGTGTTAACAACTCAGCAGTTTCATGTGATAATAATTGCCAAATAGTGTGTTTGCCAACATGCTTAACATAGCTAATTAGCATTTTCATTGTCTTCAAACAATGTCAAGATTATAGCGCCAGAGCGGCCCTGAACCAGCCTGCAGCTATTTGTATTGAGGTGGTTACAGCGCGTGGAAACGCTGCAGTGATGAGAGAGGCAACATTTAGCTGCTGGAACACCAACAGGTCATTACAGTTTTACTGCTTGGCAAAGCTACAGATGCTGTTCTGACAATTGCAGAGGTGTGAGACAGTGTTAGCATTAGCTGTACCTACCTATGTGTGTGTGTGTGTGTGTGTGTGTGTGTGTGTGTGTGTGTGTCTGCCTGTCTGTCTGTCTGTCTTGTTGTCTTGTTGTCTGACTGTCGAAGCTGGACATGGGTCTGTCAATGTACCTGAAACTGATAAAAGCCAAAAAGCTTACATCAAGTGTGCGGTCTGCTGCTTCAGTGTAAACAGGTGCATCAGTGGTTCAGAATGTGTTCTTATGGCATTGTTTTAAAGAAAGAAAAAAAGAGACTTCCTTATCTCAGTAAAATGAAATTATGTCAAAGAGAAAGCTAGTTTACAAAATAAAACTGAGGAAAAAAAAGTGCAAAAGACAAAATATTTAAAGAGGGGTTTCTTTACTTAATACTTTGATATGGTTGATTTAAAAGTAGGAATAATTTGTGCTGTGTTTGGGATTGCGAGTTAGAGCTTTCAGTAGAAAAAACCTAAAGAAGGGATCAGGAGCTAAGTAGAAATGATGGCTAGCAGACCGTTTTAAATACAGAATACTACCTAAAAGACGTAAAAGAAGAATTTGAGCTTTATTAACACTACCACCTAAACCAGACAGTATGTAGCCTCATATTCTGGTCGGTTATCATGGTTACACTGTATCACTGTCTCATAATAGCATCAATTTCAATGTTCTTACCTGCCTTATCACAAACACAGAGAGAGATTACATGACTGTAATGACGCAGCATCATCATCAGTACACTGTGTGAGCTCGGTCGAGCCCACACTTTCCCTGTGCATATGTGGAAGAAGACTAATGTTCCGATACGCATTACACAATTAACAGAGAAAATACTTGGTTAAGGTTCAGCTGTCCTGCCTGTTTAAAAAAATATATGTAGATCTTTTTTTTATAGGTAGACAAGGAGCACAAAAAGGGATAAAGTAATAGTCTGGAACATACTGTACTTTGGTGAGTGCAGTGTGTGTTACAAATAAAACGAGTGAAGTAAGAGGAGGGCTGCTGCAAATAAAACGAGTGAAGTAAGAGGAAGGCTGCTGCCTCTATTGTACATTTGAGTATTGAGGATCATGTTTACTGGTTGGATTACGAGGGTCTTTCTGCTGAAGGAGGTCATTTTGCTGTTCAGCTCTACAAACTGGAATTTAGTGTATGTCAAGCACCATTTTTCTTTCTACATGTTACTGTGAAAACATGTTATTTATGGTGCTTCGTTTGCTAACATGTAGGCTTGTGTTTTTATTTTTATTTTTTAGTGCTACTGTGTGATGCCCACATGCAGAAATGACCACTGATCAGGATCTACCTATGGACGGCCAGTCGGCCACAGCCATGTTTGCTTCAAAGGGCATCGATGTAACAGCAAACAAAGACCAAGGCGTTATCAAGGTATCGTCATTGCTTTAAATACTTTTTTTTTGGGGGACTGTAGGCGTTCAGGCACATGTAGGACTCGTTGTTCCAGCATGAGACATGTTCATTATCTGTGTTCTTTATGGATCTCTCAGCTTCTATCCTATCTTTATTGACTTTCTAAAGAGGTTTCTCAGTCTAATCAGAAACGTGTCCTTGTTTGTTCAGGTTGTGAAGCGTCAGGGGCTGGATGGAGACCGGCCGATGATCGGGGACAGAGTAACTGTTCACTACTCCGGGAAACTTCTGAATGGGAAGAAGTTTGACTGCAGTCGAGACCGCAAAGAACCTTTTTGCTTCAATGTGGGCAAAGGTAGTTATACATATCTGCCAAACATTGCTTGTTTTACCGGTTTCTTAAAGAAATACTTCAAATTTGTGAAAGTATGCTCAAAGTTGCTGACTTGAAACGAGTGAGAAATCTCGGAACCTATCAATTATGGTCTGAACAAGATACGACAACATTACCTGTGTTTGCTGGAGTTTGAGTTGAGAGACAGTGTTTAGACCTGGATTATTTGCTGACCTGATATGTCTATTTTAATTGGTTAATGTAAAGCTCAATCATCATTAGATAATAGTTCATAGGTTTGGGGGATTGTATAGCAGCCTATGGGTTTTGCCTCTTTTGCTGTCCACATGGTTGTCCTAAGTATAGCTAAAGGCCACTGAACGTTACATTGCTTGGACTACAATCATAACACTGAATATTTCCGACACCAAATACCTTGTCCCTTGCCTACCTATTCTGACTTCATAGGTTAATCAAAATCTGTTGATAGAGTTTAAGAGTTAGATGATTGGGGCCTTGCTCATGTCCATTAAATATGAAGCAATGGCCAGTTAGCTGAAAAACGAGGGGAGGGGTAAAATGGCTGGTCAGGGTAGAATCCACCCACCAGCACCTCCAAAGCTGCCAAATAATAATGTTCTATCTTGTTTGTGTAATCTGTACCAAAATTAAAGTGTAAAAACAACAACTTTGGGTTTTACAGGGGGATTATGTGCTAATGTCCTTGACTATTTCTTGCCTGGGAGCAATAACTTCCTGGAACTGAGAAGTAGCCCGGAAAACAAACTCTCCCCCCTATAAAAGCTCAGCGTGAGGTTATTGCACATAGTTTTTTCTACAAAGTACACAAATTAAATTTTACATGTCCATTAATTATCTGCTGTTAGAAGACTTTTAATTCCTTTCAACAGAGCCCGGCTAGCTGTGTCACTTTGTGTTAAGATAACAATCTCCATACAGAGCTTCATATTTAAAAGACAGATTTGTTTGTGTTCTTATCTGTGTCATTCCAAAAATTCCCAAAAAGTATTACTTTAAATTATCATTATTATGTCTAATTATGAAATAAAGTCAGTTTTATTGACTACACCTCTAATGATAGCTTTTCTTGTTTGCCTCACATCCTCACAGGACAAGTTCTGAAGGCCTGGGATGTTGGTGTGTTGTCTATGCACAGAGGAGAGGTGTGCACGTTCCTATGCAAACCTGAATACGCTTACGGCACCGCCGGCAACCCTGACAAGATTCCTTCCAACTCTCCGGTAGTGTTTGAGGTAGGTATGCAACGACGATGCTGCCGTATGTGCTGCTTCACACCATGGGACCCTGATAATTTAAGAGCAAGTGTCAGTCTCTGCAGACGAAGCTCTCTGGTTTTAAAATTAACTGGTTTGTCTATTTTAATCCCTCTCAGCCGAGCAGCCAGAATATTCAGTCCCCCTCTCTTAACGGCCTCTTTTGAGCACAGCAGGGATACAATTCAGGGTTTCTCTGTACATTATAATCAATGATAATTATGATTCTATTCAGGGAGAAATCCCAATAGATTGAACCAACTGCCCTGCTATACCATGTTCATCCCTTGGACACACACAGAGTACTTATTATTCGATGCTCCATCTGTATTACTACCCAACATATCTGAGACAGGTGTTACCAAGTGTCCTATAGTCAGATGTTTCATGTTTTATCTTTATATAATATCTAGTTTTTAACTTCTTTAAACAGCAGTATATGACTTTATCTTCTTAACATTTCTAAGCAGTATATAAACAAAGGTTAACAACAAACTATATGTAAGCTGTAAGCATTCATGGTTATTATTGTATTAATCAACAACTATACAGCTAAGATCTCTTTGACCAAACTGTTGAATAAAGTAGTTCAAAGGTTATATACTGTTTAAAATGCTTAATTGGGGAACTTAAATATGAGGTGGAGAGGTTTTTTTAAATTGTAAACCTTAAAGACTTATTCCCAAAGTCATGGTGCAGAACTTAGAAAGTTTATTTAATGAAAACCATCTCAACTGGGGTGCCGGTATCCTAGTGGTTAGCATGCACGCCCCAGGATAAAAGTAGCTTATTCAACTTAGGCGATTGATCCATGTTATGTGTCTTGTCCTAAAGGTGTGAAGTTTAATTATACAGTGAGTCTAGCGTTACTGTTTCTTCTCTAGTCGTTATTCCTCTTTTTCTACTTGTTTTTCTATGACTCCTACTTGTTTTTCGTTATGTTCTGCTTCTCTCCTCCCACACCTACTGAAGCACCACACTCCAAGTTCGGCAGAGCTGTAATTTTGTATGATGCTTTATATCCCCGTTTGGTTCTTGCAATGATTAAATGTTTACTACCAAACAGATGGAGCTACTCAAGTTTGAAGGAGAGACGCTTACACATGACAGCGGCATTCTGAGAAGAATAAAAGTCAAAGGAGACGGGTACACTAATCCAAATGACGGAGCAAGTGTTGACGGTAAAGAACCTTTAAAAAAAAAAAAAAAAATTAAAACATTAATTTAAAGGTGCCATAAGTTTATGTGTATGGTTATTTGTGTTGCAGTGCACCTGGAGGGAAGCTGTGGCGGTCGGTTGTTTGACTGCAGGGACGTTAGCTTCATAGTGGGTGAGGCTGAAGACAAAGGTGTCCCTCTCGGCGTGGATCGAGCCATGGACAAGATGCAGAAAGGAGAGTGCTGCCTACTTTATTTACAACCAAAGTAAGTCACAGAAAACTCTTGAAATGTTGTCTGTGATACTTCCTCTGCTCTTTCTCTGCTGGAACAGTCAGTTACCACTTTGGATGTGGGATTACTTTGTGGTTTTTTGTGGGCTAAATGTTCATGCTGCGTCCCCCCTGTGATCCTTTCTTTTCTCTTCTTTTTTTAAGCAATTAAGTCAATTATGTCCCCAGGAACTCTTAGTTTATGGGAGGTAAAGTGAGAAGTTTATTGAAGACTGATACTAAAGTCACAAAAGTTAAATATTATAATATTCTATAGATCTAATATTTAAGCAACATTGCTGAAATATTGATCTTTGATTTTTTTAGATCAAAACAAAAAAAGAAGATAAAATTGAATGATCATATAATGTATAGATAATTGCTTCATACATGTCTGCTGTTTCATCTAATATTACTGTTGTATATTTTGCACATATAGTACCTGTAAGGGGTCAGAGGTGGTGTGGTGAGTGTTTCTAATCTGTAAGGACAGAGAACAGTCATCTTAACACAGCTGACAGCTTGCTTTGTGCAGTACTTTTAATGTCTTCATCGTCAGGTTCTGTTTTTAAAGCATCACATCCATCCATCTCTTTAAACACACAGAAATGTAAAAGTGAGGTTTGTCTGCAACACCGGAGAAGTCAGACGTCTAAAAAACAAGGAAAACACAATTTTAATGTAAATTACATACTTCTTTAATAATAACAATCCAGATTTCTCTGTTGTTTTTAAACCTGAACTAAATTGAAAAAAGAAGAAATAGCAAAAAGAAGACAAAAGTATAAACCACATTTTACTCTTCCCCTGATTACTCAGACTATTTTAAAGTAAATAAATAGAGAAAAAAAGAGCGATTATAAAAATAAAGAGAACACAATGTACTGTCCAAACCACATGATATCTTTCCTGTAACTCAGCCCACACCAACCCTCCCCACCAGCTCCTCAGGCCAAAGCAAAGTACTCACAATCCACATCACACTTACTGTACAAATCAAACGGAGATGCCAATAAAGAGACAACTGATGAGACAAATCAGCTGCCATTAGAGTGTAAAGCCACGAACGAATAATAAAGAGGGACGAACAAATACATTAATTCTTCTCTAACTAAAAACCAAATGAATCTGAACCTTTTTCAATGTTTCTCTAACATTTATTTAATATTATTCTTTTCAAGTATCTCTTCAGCTCTGGACTAAAAAAACTCTGCTACATCATCTCATTTCTTTTGGTTTTTAATGGATATATGTTTTTTCCATGGTAGAATTGTAGAATCTATCCTTGTAAAAAAATACTTTGACCATCAGATGCTATGCCTTATGCAAAACGGGAGGGTCTGACCTCCGGGAATATAGTTCTTGACTTCTAAACTTGATTTTTATTTAATTTTGCAATTTCTGCACAAACAGGCTGTTTTATTTCAAAATCATTAAAGTATAGATTCATTTTAAGAAGTAAAGAAAAGGAGATGCATTGAAACCAGCTGTATTATTGTGACATCTGCTTCATTTCAAAATGTCCTCAACAACCTTCATTCTAAAGAGTTTTCCTTGTGCAGAATGATCTGGAATATTTATGTGTAAAATCTGAGATTTGTTCATATAATTGTCCCCATTGGCAGGCATTCTTTATGATGAGGGGGATAAAATCATGTTAATATGAAGGGTTGACAGGGATTTCTTTATTTCTTGCTATTTCTTTAAAATATTCAAAACATTCTCTGAAGTGTTTGGAGTCTTTTCCTCGTAGGTACGGCTTTGGAAGCGAAGGTAAACCAGAGTACAAAATTGGACCAGACAAAGAAATTGTGTACGAAGTTACCCTCAAAGACTTTAAAAGGGTAAGTTCCGCCTGATTCTTTTTCACTGTTGAAATGAGATTGTACATGCCGTTCGTCTAGATGTGGTTAATGTGTGGTTTTGCTTCACTTTCCCATGTAAGACAAACACATTCAAGTGCACTCTGAGCAAAGTTCAAGATGTCCTACATAATGATGCTGAGAAATGCAGCTGACTACCTCAAACACAACAACCAGTGTTTACTCACGTTCTCTGACGTCGTTTGTCTTTTCACAAGGCGAAAGAATCCTGGGAAATGGACTTGAACGAAAAGCTGAGCCTGGCTTTTGGAGTGAAGCATAAAGGGAATCATTATTTTAAGGTACACTCCCACTGCACTTTTTTATTTTAATGTTTTTTTTTTTTTTTGTCATGGTAATTTAAGGGTGTTTTCCTCTTTTATTAGTCCGGGCGGTATCAGCAGGCAGTCATCCAGTACCAGCGCATCATTTCCTGGCTAGAAATGGAGTGTGGTACTGGGATAGAGCAGCAGAAGAGGATACAGGACTTTCTCCTGACGTCTCATCTCAATTTAGCGCTGTGTTTCCTGCGGATAAAAGAGTTCTCACAGGTGGTGGAGAACTGCAACAAGGTGAGACTGCACATTTAAGGACAGCATTTTATCTCCCCACATGGTGTTCTGTGTAGCTGCTGGATGTCCTGGAATACCTCTGAACGTATGACTTTGTTTGTGTTTAGGTAATAGAGCTGGATGAAAACAACGAGAAGGCTTTGTATCGTCGTGGGGAAGCCCGTCTCCTTCGTAACGAGTTCAGCCTGGCCATGGCGGACTTTCAGCAAGTGCTCCAAGTCAACCCCTCAAACCGGGCAGCTCGTGCTCAGATTTCCATCTGCCAAAGCAAGATTAAGGAACATCATGAGCAGGACAAGAAAACCTACGCAAACATGTTCCAGAAATTTGCAGAATCTGATGCCAAGGTCTGTTAACTTACTGTTCTTGGCCAAACGACAAACAGTCAGCCTGACTTCCCTTCTTCTCTTCTCCTTTCTTCTCCTCTCTTCTCTCCTCTCCTCTCCTCTCCTCTCCTCTCCTCTCCTCTCCTCTCCTTTCCTCTCCTCTCCTCTCCTCTGCTCTCCTCTTTTATTTTCGTTCATTTATTACGTTAAATGCAATAACTTTAATGAGCTAGACAAAATACGAACAACTTGAAGAATTTTTTATTTATTTTTTACTGATACCGTGCTCTCATCATTTTATTTCCAGAGATAGACACGCTTGCAAAGCTGGAGTATTTCCATTTCTTTAACAAAATAAAAGATGATTTAAATATTAGATTTCAAAATAAAATAAAAATGAAACCTTCCTCTGTTATATAACAAAAGTCATTTATTCTTACAGAGGAAAATGAAAAGAACTAGGAGTTTAGGCACCAGACTTCAGAAGATGGAGATGCTATCTTAAAGTTCACGATAATAGATGTTTTGGTAAACATAAAATGTTTAAAATCACTTACAGTAATCAACTTATGGTCAGCCATTTTTGGTACCATAGTGAGATGTTACAGAATCAGTGGAGATCTGTCTCTTTCATGGCCTTAAAAAATCCTGTAAAATGTTGTAATTTTCATGGCTTGATAGTTTCATTAAATCTTATGACATTAATAAGGCTGACGTGTTATTTACAGGAATGTTGCAGTTACATTTAGATAACAAATTATCCTTTAACTCCCGTTTGTTATTGTGCTTTCTTCAGTGTGGTGCTGGCCTCTAGTGTTCACGTATGGAATTGTTGATTTTTTCCACTTGTGCACTGTTGAAAAAAGGAAAATCACCACAGAGTAATAGAAACAACACACCATTTCTTTAATGAAATGTTTTTCAATCATTTAGTTTTAACAGATCAACTGATTGAATAGTTTTATCCTAGGCTCTTTCTCACGAACTGCACATTGTTGAGTCTGTCCTTCTCGTGCATTCATCTTGTCAATAATGGTTTATTTTAGACTGCCTTAGTCATTTGTTCTTCATCTCTGCTCTGCAGACTGGGAAGACGAGGAGGAGGAGGGACGAGAGCTTGAGGAGCAGCATGAACGGTGAAGTGGGCACTAAACGACGACGGAGGAGTCAAGACTGTCCTTCATATTGACGCTTTGAAGGGAGGGAGAAAAAAGAAGCCTGTCTTGCCACTTGCTTTCTAAGCCCTGAAAGAGAAGTCAGGGACAACATTGTTCAAGGCCTGAATCCAAACCTCTTTCTCCAAATCCAACGTTACCATTCCTGCATTTAAAGCAGAGGTTAAATGGGGACATTTGCAAACTGAACAGCATTTCTCCTGTCTCACCCACTCTGCAACTGCCAGGACTAAACCTCCAGTGGATTTATCACTGCAGACTCAATGAGTTGAGATCGTCCAACACTTCAAGCCCCAGCTTTGTTTTTTGAAAATGTTTTAATTTATTTCTTCAAAAACACAGAGAAATTCCATTTTATCTGTCAACAGGCTGCTGTGTAGAGCTGAGATGTGCCTCCACAGTGTGTTTCTAACTCCAAAACTGTGCTCTGACTTGTATTTTATATTAAGCATTTTCTTGGGCAGCTGCATGCATGTGTCATGAGGTGTTTGGGATTCAGACTTGAAACTTTGCAATTTTTTTCATGTGCAATATGTACTTTGTAACAAGTCTTTAAACTAGCTTTGGATCATAAAAGAAACCATTCATAATGTTAGACAGCCTGCTTTCATTCACTGGCAGACACTGAAAATACAGAAGAGGTTTAAGTAATACGATCTCAGGACTCACAATGAATGAAAACTTCTCCAAATGTTATATTTCAATATTGTCATAAATCACCCATAGGCCATAGCAAGCTCAAGTTTCTTATAGACAAAGGCAAAGAGAGGAATCTGAAAGAACAAAAGCGAAGATAACACATTAGGTCCAACATGGAAAATTCACAATTACTATCACTGTATGAGTTTCTGCTAGTTATCACTGATTTAATCAGAGAATAAATTGTTACATTTAACTAACACCTACAAAGATGAACTGGTACATTTGAAAAAAAAAAATATATATGTATATATGACGGAGCTAAACTGTGGTGAAAGAAGGAATATAATTCCAATGTAATCCCTCGTTTTGAGGTTGTTTACATGAATAAGGCCACTTGCAGTTAATGATTTATCCACAGATATATGCATCATGAGTCCTGAATAATTGGTTCAAATGTTGTGTCTTATTCATTTGAAACATCACAGTACAAGCAGATATTATAAAAAGCCTGATTACATGACGTTTATGGACTGATAATAGTTGAATCAAGTGGCAGCTGCAGAAGCATAAACAATTTAAAGATATATTTAAAATTAAATGTATCAGCGCTTCAGCTTCAGTAGAATTTAGTGATTCATGACTTTCTTCTTATCTTGTACTCACTGTATGTTTATCACCTAATTGCATGAGCATCATATCGGCACAATCATCAGCAAACACAAGACCTTAGTTCAACTGTTATACAGATGCAGGATCTTTTCTACTGGCTGCCATAAAACTATAATTAAAACTTCCTTAAAAGAAAAAGAAAAAGCCAGTTATGATCATAAAATCACCCTGTTCCCACTTTTGTGTCTGGCGGAGCAGATGTGCAACAGTAGGTTTGACTTTGTGAGTACAAGCGGGACAAGGATGTAAACTCAAATTAAGCTTTAAAATCTACAGAGCCGCAGATTGGACATGAGATTGGACAAATGACACCAAACTTTCAGCTCTGGTCATGTGATGAACTATTTCATTTGACATCTGTGTAGATCTTCTTGCCTCAAAACTCTCTCTCAATTTCCCTGCATCTTCTTGTTATCATTTTGAAATGTGTGAAAGTTAGTGGCTAGTCAACAATGCTGCACTGTGGTGACCGTGCAAACCAACACTGTTCTTTTGTAATGAACTGTCCGGATGAAATCCTGACAATAATCTGTAGATGTTTTAAAAACATTGGTTGGTTCAGAATGAAAACCTTAGCTGTCTTAAATATTTCATGTAAAAGAAAAGAAGAAAAAAAACAGTGTGTATGTGCATGAATGTATGAGTGTGTGTGTATGTGCGTGTATATGTGTGTATGTGTGTGTGTGTGTGTGTGTGTATATGTGTGTGTGTGTGTGTGTGTGTGTGTGTGTGTGTGTGTGTGTGTGTGTGTGTGTGTGTGTGTGTGACATACTGTATTTGGTTATATGTTAGCAAGGTTTTTCAACAGCTTGTTGCTAAATGTTTTCAAGTACTGCTGGCTCTGAACAGTCTAATTTTTTGTACAGTGGAAATGAGCATGAAGTACTTTTTTTTCTAGCAGTTATAAAATTGTATTTAAAATATACTGAATATTTATCCCCTCATGACAAGTACAGAAAAAGTGTCAGGCATTCATTATTGAAAAATAATTGCAATTAAGAGGTATAAGTAGAACAATTTTGACATTAAAATGACTGATAAAATGCGGCTGGTTAAATTGCAAGACAACCACAGAGAAATTGGTTTTAATCAGAAGTGCTGTGTCATTTAAATTGTTTACATTTGTTGTAAGACTTTTGCCCTGTAAAGCAAATTGTAATCAATATTTTAAACTGGCATTTGTGCAAAAGAAATATTTTCAAACAAAACTAACTACATGAGGTACCTTTGTTTATGTCTTCTTTATATATATTTTTTTAAGTTTTTGCACTTTAAAAGCATTAAATATTATCCAAGAGGTTGCATCTGAAAAAGAGAAGTCTTGTTGTTAGTTCTAGGTCATTAATTTACAAGTACAACATCCATAAGGTTAACTTTTCACCCTAGCAAAGAGATTTTGTCCTTAAATAATTCAATCGAAAAACCAAGACGATGTTTCATTTAACCCACCTTGAAATCAGTATTAAGGTTTTTAACTCAGTTGTTAATAGTTCCATAGAATAAAGAGAAAAGTATTTAATCTCTGAAGCTAATTATGCTTTGTTTTATCTATATCCGAAAGCATGTTGACACAAAAATATTTTTTTTAGCTTTTCAGATCATGAATGTTAGCAACAGATTTACACTCAAAGTAAATGCTCCCATTCAATGGTTTTCATGGTTTGTTCTCATAAAAGTGTTCAAAAATGACCATAAAACCATCTTAATTTAAGGGTTAGGGTTAAATGTCAACTACTAACATTCTCCTATTATTCAAATTGACCAAAAATAAGAATAAAACAAGGAGATGAATCATTAATGATCGTCGACTTTATTCAATTGTATTAACAGATTTGATGGATAATTAAAGAATGGCACATGGTAAAATGACATTGAAAGTTAATGGTTTAATTAATGAATCAATTCATTCATTAATAATGTAACTACATATTCTGAAACAATTGTAAGATTAATTCAGTTACTCTTACATTCTTGACATCGTCAATTTCTCATCCAAAAGGTATTTACATAATAACAATGGATCATGAATGTACACAATTTCTTCTTCTGAAAATAGATCCTCTTTAAAAAAAAGTCACCGATGGATTCTTAAACCTATAAAATACCATGCATCATGCATGAGCTGTTGGACCTACAGTTATATATGATACAAAAAATGTACAAAATTATGAAAACATTAATCAGCAAATTGGCTAAATGATTTTCAGCTACAAAAATTTTGACTAAAAAAAAAGTTTAAAAACGTATAAACATTTATAAAAATGTTTATTCTATATTATTGTTGAAAAATGTTTTGGCCAACAAGATGGCACAAAGTGCCTCATTGTCATTCATTGCTTCCATCACCACAATCTGAAAGCTGACATAAACAGTTGCCCTACTTATAAACACCCAAACACACACCTGTTAGTGTCTTTTTGTTTCCTTCCTGTGAGGCAGGTACAGTACATGCCTGTTTATAAAATAACAGAAACACTGTGGTGCTGGGAATGGCCTTGTGGCTAAGTTGGCTAAGGTGCAGCAGGGTTTGAAAAGGACCCATATCAGAGGATTCGTCTTTCAAGTCAGTTGGCTACTTCATTTTCATAGAACTTAGTCTGACACAAATATGTCATTGACAGTGACCTAAAACTGACTCAAGTGTTCGATCTGTATGGCTTATTTGGCGAGAGTATATCTGTTGCTGTAATTCAAACACAAATATCTCGGGATAAAAACGCTGGTTTCCCCATGATAACAAGTTAATTTCTTAAGAACTTTAGAAAATGGATGAAAATAAACCACTATCACATGAATACCAACATTCTCATCCCCAGATAACGAGATAAGTAAGTTGAGATTTCGCGAATACAACCACAATACTTGTTATCATGGGAAAATGGAGGTAAATAAAATCTATTGGTGCGTGTCCACTTAGGGCTTCCGCACAAATTAATCCTGCAGGATCAGAAGTTTATCATTAACATAGAGAAGATTCTTTTATTTTTCTTCTAGTTTTCTTTTATTCTCACTTTTTTTGGGTAGCCGTCAGGCATTTCAAGCTTTTTAACGTATTCTTTGGTGTAACCTGTGACAGTCAAAATGTATTGCTTTGTTTATAGCGGTCAAACACCATAATAGGTTGGGAAGTGCTGCTTTAAAATGAGTTTGAGTCTGAGGGCAAGCTTTCATTTTTCGCCAAGTGATAAAGAATATGAATCTCCTCCAGTTTGCCTGTGGTCACTAGGACATGATGCTATCAGGATATGAGGTCAAGTCGATCAGTTCAAGAGCTTTCTTCTCTGATTTGTTCAATGGAAGATCTTCTGCTGGAGTACACAAGGTGGAGACCCTCTGACAAAGAAAAATATAACTTTAACAAAAATACAAATAAACTGGTTCAAAGAAAGGTTGACTTATTTATGTTTACAACAGCTCACCTGCCGGAGTGTACCGGGGGTTTTGTACAGATTGTACAGCATCCAGAGAGGAACCATGAGTGTAGAGGAAAGAGTGAACCACCAGCCAAGAGCATAACCCCACCATGGATACTCAATGATATTGTTGAACTTCAGAGGAGTGTATTTGATCAAGGAGAAAACAAACGTTCCCTGGACACAAACACGGAGAAAGCTATTATTGTCATGGAAAGATAACTTACAAAACTGAAAAAGGATTTCCCTCAAAGACTGAAAAATTAAACCAGTATAAAATTTATGTTAATTTAATGTGTTCTTGTCAAAGAAAACTTAAAAAAGGGTAAATTACATTTTAAAAGGATGCAAATTAAGCTTCACACCTCAGTTCAATGTCAGCCAGCATTCTCCCAAAGTGGAAAGAAAAGCTGATGAATATCTTGTAGTGATGGCTAAAAGCTAGAGGTAGCTCTGAGGTCTAGTCAAGACTCAAGATTTTTTGTAAGCTATCAATGTTTTTCAGTTATTTACAGCAACTTGAGAATCAAGAATTGAGTTTGAATGAGCGAGAATGTCAGCTAATAGGCCTAGCTGAGCTACCTAAAGACAAAACAGAACACATTTATGGCAGTAAATGTAAAGCTAGACAACTGGTATTAATTTACATAAGAATCATGGTGGTGGAAGTCAGGCAGTAGTTGTGTGAGAGATGAGTTAGGCCTACATGGTGAAGGCCCCCTGCCAGCCGGCATGCTATGACGGCTGAACCTAGATAGGCCTATCTGCCTCGTGGTACAGCTTTAAAATGGTATAAAACTTATTTATTGGGAAAGATCTGTATGACGGAGGATTAGGGCCACGTTAAAACTTTAAAGTCGTAAATTTTGCGAGAATAAAGTTGTAAATTCACGAGAATAAAGTCGTAAATTTACGAGATTAAAATCGTAAATTTACGAGTTCGAGACCAGCCTGCGCGAAAATTATGAAAGTAGAACTCTTAAAGTCTTTTCCTCTGCAGACAACTTCCTCCAAGTCAGTGTGGGTCTTTCTTCGGAAAAGCCACAGTTCCTTGAAGTATCTTTTCAGCTATTTGTGTCTGTTATCTGCCTGTTAAAGTGTCTCATGTGCAGAACCAGTCTGTGTCCTGGTCATCATTTTACAGATAAAGAAGGTCTTGCAAGTTGAAGTGAAAACTTCTCTTGAACTAACTGTTTTTACCGACTACACAAGGA